AAGCAAGCCGAGGAGATAAGCTTCCAGAAAGATATCATAGCGCAGGTCCGCGACGAGTTACAGAAGCAAGAAGAGCACACCCGCCGTGCGCTCACCAAGGTCGAAAACGAGGATGTCGTACTGCTCGAACGGGAGCTCCGGAAACACCAGCAAGCCAACGAGGCTTTCCAGAAAGCGTTGCGAGAAATCGGTGGCATCATCACGCAAGTCGCCAATGGTGATCTCTCGATGAAGGTTCAGATCCACCCCTTGGAGATGGACCCGGAAATTGCGACGTTCAAACGCACGATCAACACCATGATGGACCAACTGCAAGTCTTTGGTAGCGAAGTGTCTCGAGTCGCCCGTGAAGTCGGAACTGAGGGTATTCTCGGTGGTCAAGCTCAAATCACTGGTGTCCATGGTATCTGGAAGGAACTCACGGAGAACGTCAACATTATGGCCAAGAACCTGACGGATCAGGTGCGAGAAATCGCGGCTGTCACCACAGCTGTCGCCCACGGTGATCTGAGTCAAAAGATCGAAAGCCGGGCTCAGGGTGAAATTTTGGAACTGCAACAGACAATCAACACGATGGTGGATCAACTTAGGACGTTTGCCACGGAAGTAACTCGAGTCGCGCGCGATGTCGGTACGGAAGGTGTACTAGGAGGTCAGGCCCAGATTGAAGGTGTCCAGGGAATGTGGAACGAACTCACGGTCAATGTCAACGCCATGGCCAACAATCTTACCACGCAAGTGCGTGATATCGCCACGGTTACCAAGGCCGTCGCCAAGGGTGATCTGACGCAGAAGGTGCAAGCCAACTGCCGAGGAGAAATCGCCGAGCTAAAGAACATTATTAATTCCATGGTGGACCAACTGCGACAGTTTGCACAGGAAGTCACCAAGATCGCTAAGGAGGTCGGTACTGACGGTGTACTGGGTGGTCAAGCCACCGTCAACGACGTCGAAGGCACCTGGAAAGACCTTACCGAGAATGTCAACCGCATGGCCAACAACCTGACCACTCAGGTACGTGAGATTGCGGACGTCACCACTGCTGTCGCCAAGGGTGATTTGACCAAGAAGGTCACTGCCAACGTGCAGGGTGAGATACTTGATCTCAAGAGTACGATCAACGGCATGGTGGATCGTCTAAACACCTTTGCATTCGAGGTCAGCAAGGTCGCGCGTGAGGTCGGTACCGATGGTACCCTCGGAGGCCAAGCCAAGGTGGACAATGTGGAAGGAAAATGGAAAGATCTCACCGATAATGTCAACACCATGGCACAAAATTTGACATCTCAGGTGCGAAGTATCTCAGACGTGACACAGGCGATTGCCAAGGGTGATCTGAGCAAGAAGATCGAGGTCCACGCTCAGGGAGAGATTCTGACCCTCAAAGTGACAATCAATCACATGGTGGGGCGTTTGGCCAAATTTGCTACTGAACTGAAAAAGGTCGCTCGCGACGTGGGTGTTGATGGAAAGATGGGTGGTCAAGCCAATGTGGAAGGAATCGCAGGAACTTGGAAGGAAATTACAGAGGACGTGAACACCATGGCAGAAAATCTCACGTCTCAAGTGCGTGCATTTGGTGAAATTACGGATGCTGCCACCGATGGTGACTTCACTAAGCTCATCACCGTCAACGCTTCCGGAGAAATGGACGAGCTGAAGCGCAAGATCAACAAGATGGTTTCCAACCTGCGAGACAGTATCCAAAGAAACACTGCTGCCAGGGAGGCCGCCGAGCTTGCCAATCGCACCAAGTCCGAATTCCTTGCCAACATGTCCCACGAAATCCGAACTCCCATGAACGGTATCATTGGTATGACCCAGCTCACGCTGGATACCGACGATCTGAAGCCGTACACGCGGGAAATGCTGAACGTGGTTCACAACCTGGCAAACAGTCTGCTCACAATCATTGACGATATACTCGATATCTCAAAGATTGAAGCCAATCGCATGGTCATTGAAAGCATTCCTTTCACCGTGCGTGGTACCGTGTTCAATGCGCTCAAGACTCTGGCTGTGAAGGCGAACGAGAAATTCCTCAGCCTCACCTACCAGGTCGACAACACGGTTCCTGACTATGTCATTGGTGATCCCTTCCGTCTGCGCCAGATCATCCTCAACTTGGTTGGTAATGCTATCAAGTTCACCGAGCATGGTGAGGTCAAGCTCACGATCCGCAAGTCCGATCGTGAGCAATGCGCCACCGACGAATACGCCTTTGAGTTCTCTGTCTCCGACACCGGTATCGGTATTGAGGAGGACAAATTGGATCTGATCTTCGATACTTTCCAACAGGCTGATGGCTCTACCACCCGTAGGTTCGGTGGTACTGGTCTCGGTCTATCGATCTCTAAACGCCTGGTGAATCTGATGGGAGGTGATGTCTGGGTCACCTCTGAGTACGGACATGGCAGTACCTTCCATTTCACCTGCGTCGTGAAGCTTGCCGACCAGTCCTTGAATGTCATCGCTTCTCAGCTCCTGCCATACAGGAATCACCGCGTGCTGTTCATCGACAAGGGTCAGAACGGTAAGCAAGCCAACAATGTCATGAAGATGCTCAAGCAGATCGAACTGGAGCCTTTGGTTGTGCGAAATGAAGAGCATGTTCCACCACCCGAGATTCAAGACCCCTCTGGAAAGGAGTCTGGCCATGCGTACGATGTTATCATTGTGGATTCGGTGGACACTGCCCGTATCTTGCGAACATTCGACGAGTTCAAGTACATTCCTATCGTTCTGGTTTGTCCTTTGGTCTGTGTCAGCTTGAAGTCCGCTTTGGATCTTGGTATCAGCTCGTACATGACAACGCCTTGCCAGCCTATCGATATGGGCAACGGTATGCTTCCTGCGTTGGAGGGTCGGTCGACCCCGATCACCACCGACAATTCCCGCTCGTTCGACATCCTTTTGGCCGAGGACAACGATGTCAACCAGCAACTCGCGATGAAGATACTCCAAAGGCACAACCACAATGTCTTTGTTGTTGGTAACGGTCTCGAGGCCGTGGAAGCTGTCAAGAAGCGCCGCTATGATGTGATCCTGATGGATGTTCAGATGCCCGTCATGGGTGGTTTCGAGGCTACCGGCAAGATTCGAGAGTATGAACGGGAGAGTGGTCTTCAGCGAACTCCGATCATTGCGCTTACTGCACACGCCATGCTGGGTGATCGTGAGAAGTGTATCCAGGCTCAAATGGATGAGTATCTGTCCAAGCCGCTCAAGCAGAACCAGATGATGCAGACCATCCTCAAGTGTGCTACGCTTGGCGGCTCGCTGTTGGAGAAGAGCAAGGAGTCTCGAATTTCAAGCAGTGGAGAAATGCATCCCATCCACTCATCTGTGCCCGACAATCAAAATCAGCAGCAGCAACGATCACAGAAGCAACAAGGGTTGCCTTCACCACCGCGGCCTGGCATGGAAACCCGGGCAATTTCCACCACCGGCCCAATAGGCCGGGGTAGTGTCGCCGAGCCTGAAGACAATGATGAAGAGATGATCGATGATCGGGTACGTTAGCATGTCTGTTGTTGAAGGAACTGGGTTCCGGATCAAATCCCCGGCTAACCATTTCTTCTTTTCATAACAGACACTGCTGCGATCCAACAGTACCTGAGCTCCTCCCATTTGCATACCGTGAACATTTACTTTCCTGCCCTGCAGATTGGCCAGGTGGTTTCGATGTGGCCTGTTGATACCCTGTCCATATGAGTCTTTTTGAGTGCTTCTCCTTTTATTTTTCTCATCATTCCCATTTTCTTTGATTCAAGGCGGGTGGGCCAACACCAGAAGTCTCATGAAATTTCTGCTTTATTTCCCACTTGCCTTTGATCTGCTCATACCCGCGTATCTCATTATCATCGTTCGTCTATCGTCTCCATGGTGGTACCGCGGTACCCCCAATCATTTTCAATCATCGCATTCGTTTGATCCTTTATCGGGTGGTGTTTGGCGCATATCTATTGATAGGAACCTGGATCGGTTCGGCAGTCAAGTGGGTTACTGAAGGAGGAGTTCGCAATTAAGAAGGGGGGTGTGGCTTTGCTTCCTTTTTTCGTTTCTTGGTCGCCCCCAAGGATCCGGTTTTTTCATTGCCGTCGTACTTGCCATCTATTCTCTCGCTTACAGTTTAGCCGAGGAGCCTCTTTTTGTTTACTTTCTTCTTTGATATTCCTACATTTGTATTGTATCTAGCTGGCTTCCCACTTTTTGATCGAACTTGCTAGGTTGGGTCAGATAGCATGATCAAGGCTCCGAGGTTATTTTTCCCTCCTATTATTTCTTTGGATTTTCTATTTCTCCCTAGGGTAAAGTGTCCGTCTTAAGTGGTTATCATGGCGGGTAATAGATGTAAACCTCTTTCAGTCACTTGCTACAGTAGCTCCCTACATCGCCTTTTGCCATATGAGAACCATTGAGATACTCTTTCATGCTCTAATAGGCATTCATATTGGTCAATCATTGCTAGGTCCACCGGAAATACAATCACAAAATAAGAGATGCGATATGTATGAATCTAGCTTTCTGGTTTGTCTACAATGCATTTGTGAACCACATGACGGGCTGCAATAGACTGTATATACTTGTATATCACCACTTGAGCTCTCGTATTGTGCTGTCTTATTGTGGATATGGCTCATCCTCGACACCCCATACTAACCACTATTTACTGACCAGTCTGGTGCCTGTAGAGGAGCCAGGATTGCAACCCTGGGAACGCACACAACATCACGTGGATAAACAAGTAGGGTGCTCAAGCTGGATATCTATTACAATGATCCAGCCATACTGATCTATGAAACGGCAGTCCTACTACACCTCTACTGCTACAATGCAACCGTTCAGGGTATTCACTCGATGGAGGAGTATGCGGCCACGGAGAGATCCTGCGCGAAACTACGCCAGATGGCCAGACCCTTTCATCGATATCCATCGCTGCACCGTCACAGTGCAAATCCACCTCAAGTCGGGATCAGTCATGGAAGAGCCAGCCGTCGATGACTGGAATCTTTGAAGTCAACGACAACAACGAAGCCATCTTCAATGCAGCGGTGGCCCCTATCCTCCCGCAAGTCCTGCAGGGTAAACCAAGCAATTTCTTTGCACACGGCCATTCAGGAAGTGGAAAGTCTCACACCATCATCGGATATGACTATGAGACCACCAAAGAGCTCGGTCCCTGTCTAGCTTCTACCCGTCATCTAATGCAAGAGCTCGCTCGTCTGAACGCAAACGATGGCAGCAACCAATTAGGTATTGGGATTCGCATGTATGAGCTTCGGAAGAACAGCGCTTTTGATCTCTTGAACGGGCGCTGTGAATGCTTTGTCCGCGAGGGGTAGGAGGGTCAGGTCTACATCCGAGGAAAGATAGAGATGCTCGAGGACGCGCAAAGTCAGAGTGCGACCAATTGTGACCAAGGCATGCTGGAGTTTCCAGGATCTCTCGAGCGAGTTACATGCAGGAATCAAGTTTCGCGCGACAGGGACGTCGACGGTCCATGACCAGAGTTCGCGGACTCATGCGGTCATTGGGTTTGAGATCGTCACTAAGGATCTACTTGAGGCCCGCGATGCGATTGTCGAGCGACAATCTGAGCTCGTTCCAGTGGGCAAATATGCGACGGATGTGTATCTGGAGGGACAAATTCGGGCTTTTATACAGAACGAGAAAGAGCAGTATGTCCCGAATCCTGATTATCAGGTGGATCAAGCATGCATCGACACTGCAGAGGCCAGAAAAGCCGAATTCGAAGCACAAGTCACATCTGCCGAGGAGCACGAGTCAAACCTGTTCCAGAGTATATCCCGTCGCCATGGCTGTCTGGGAGGAAAGCTTGTGCTCGTGGATCTAGCTGGTTCAGAGTACTTTGATGCAAGGAATGGACTAAGGCCAAACAAGACATCTCAGGAGAAGCAAGAAAGGAGACAGATTAATACTGATCTTCTGGCTCTCAAGGAGGTGATTCGGGCTCGGGCTCAGAATCTAGCTCGAGTCCCCTTTGGATCATCGCCGCTCATTATGGTCTTACGTCTGCACTTTCGGGCTTCGTCTGATAACTACGGATTCTGCGATGATTTGACAGTCTCACCTTTGGTTAGAGAGTTCGCTGCTACGATGAATACGTTAAAGTATGGAAGTCTGGTGGGAGTTGCAGGGGACAAGAAATAGACTGGTGAGAGTATAGCGTATATTAGAACCAACGCTCTAAGAAATTATAATATAACTGGATCAAAGCCAGATTGCCTCTATGTCCTCCTTATTAGCAAGCATTTTGCTCCGCCGAATATCTCTATCTGCGTGCAAATCTGCTGGAAATTTGTTCTCGGGGCCCTCTAAATCATTTCCTTCAAAGAAGCCAACAACGACGGTCCGTACTGGAAGGATGCCCATCCAACGACTCCCAGAGTTGGCAAAGCAACGGCGCTTAACCTGAGGAGGGCTGCCGTCATTCTCGGCTTCATGAAACCGTCAACCAGTTTCTTGAAATTCGCAGGGTCGTTAGGTATCGGGTATGGCTCGTCTGGAACTGGCAAGCCAAGGAAAGGGCAAATGTCCTCCCAATCCACACCGTTCTCAAGCGTGATGACGTGCAAACGATCCGCTGGAATGACATCCTTGGCCAATTTGATACTATTATGGACTATTAGTCTTGTTCAATTCTCGTCCCGTCCGTTAGGCTCTGATCCACGTACTAGTCATTGTAATATGCGTAGAGCTCCCGCTCGTTGTCTGGGTGACCGGGCCGCGTGCCCGCAGCAAGGCCACCGTAAATGAGGGCAGTGACTCTCATGAATTCGGAGAGGAGGGGATCGAAGTGCTTCACGATATTCATAGGAAACCTCTCTGACATTTGCACCAAGTCGCCCGCCGAATTGTTGACGGATTTTGCCCACTTCTCGGGTTGTCGTTCAGTGAGGATGAATTTCACATCTGGGTCTTCTGCGTACGCTTCGAGGAGATCTTTGCCCATGTAACTAGGGATTTCGACAATACACTAGGCATTTTTAGTTGCAAGACCACTTTGGCTCAAGCTGGATGAAAGTTGGGGTAAGAAGATATCGACTCACGTCGTACTCGGCCATCCACTTATCAAAATCAGCCTTGTTGTATCGTCTGATTCCAGACAACCGGTTGAACTGCGCAGTGAGTGCCTCATTGAAGAATCTCAGATGCGGCAAGCCGTTATTAAGAACGCACTCGGAGAAGTGGTATGACTTGAAACCCAGTATGTTCATTGCGTTGAACATACTCATAGTTCCTGAGCTAGATCGGCCCTTTTAGATTAGCATATTGCATTCTTTTGCAGACCAGGCTACAGGGATTCCACAATCTTACCGACTAGGGCTGGCCACGACCACCTTTACAGGTCGGACTTTGGCCGGAGCGGGAGCCTGATCAATGTGTCGTGACATCTTGGTGAAGGTGCAACTTTCGAGAGGAAGGAAATCAAGCTTAGGAGGGAGCAGCTTTGCTTTATGGAACTCAAAAAAATAGAGAGAGGTGGGGGTTGTAGCTGACCACCGTATCTGTGAATTTAGGTCGAACAGCTGGTGGGGGGGGCTTAAAGCAACCACTCAGTGACCTCTGCGGTCTACTGGTTCCGTGGCAAGGCTGGTGGGCACTCATATTTGGCCCAGCCACGAGCGGGATATCAGAACTACTTTTAGTGATGCAACCTTAACCTTGGTAGGTTTGTCAGCCTATGAGGATGATTTGTCAGGACTGAGGCTCTGACTGGTGAGATGCTAAACAATTTCTCATTCCCCAACTTCACAAACCGGACAGAGTTTGGACCCACCGCCAGTCAGCAGCTGGAATATGGATGTCTGTCCTCTCCAGTCTCGGTGAAGCGATTGGGAGCTTAAGGCCCGTTCAGGGGGTCTTGAGAGGGCAGAGGAATCTCAACCCGAATAAGCTGGCACGATTAATATCATTGAGTTTTGTTTCCTCGTCTATGTCCTGTTCAAGGAGTGAGACCTTGCCACGGGAGAGCACTAGGTCAGAAAAGGCAAATGCACCCAGTGGACATTGATGACTGATCATCGATTTTCAAGCGGTCAGGGGTTTCTGATCTGGAGAATCCATCACTCTATCATTTGCAAGACGGACACAGAGGATCTATCTTTATTATTATTAGTTGAACTTATTCTTGAATTCCACCTGGCCCTAGCTCTGTGAAAGTTTCCGACGAAGCATGGTGCACGCGGGGACACTCGTCTTCTTGATCTTCGGTCAGCATCCGACCACTCATTGACCGAAGCCTTTTGCTTTTGTTTTCTTTGCCAAATTTGAGTGCGTCTAATCTCCCGTAAGCTTGTATCTTGAAACTATAAATCTTATCTTCGAGGTAGATATAGATCTGATCACGCGATTCGCCTCTAAAATGGGGCCATCCCGAGACACGCTCATTGCCCAACCGCAACTTAAGCTTATTTGCTATGAGGCTCTGAGATCAGACTTCTTCTTCTTCTCCTTCTTCTTCTTCCTCTTAGATTTCAGCATTTTTGCACCAATAATCTTTGCATCTATTTCCATAATTTCAGACCGTGTTGGATCTATTGGTGATTCTTCTTTAACTTCAACATGACCGCACACGTGTTAAATCTCCCCTCGCTAACCACACATCAGGTACGAAATGCGACTTGGAAATTGGCAGAACGAGAGCAAGCGATCGTCATTATCTATCCGCTTCTATAGAGCCCCAGCAAGTAATATTATGATATAAAATAGAAGAAATAGTGAGAAAAGAAAGCGATAGCCAAATTCCACCCTCTAGATCACCATCGATCACCATTCGGGTTGATTCCCAATGAGCCCCCGGGCTCCTGACGAACCTGCGACCTAGTCCCGATATCTAACACGTTGGAACCTGGGGAAGACTCCGATAGTGGTGGTAGTCGTCGTGGTCGTCTCCGTGAGAATGCCCGTTAAATTAAGTGTACGACTCGTTGTCGCATTCGCGAAAGTTCTCGTCGTGTTAGTGACTATTGCGGTGATGTTTCCCATCATCTCGCGTCGGACTATACCAGGAGGGCTGCGTCGAGTGATGGTCTGGGTACCTTGGCTGCCACGAGGGGTTGTTGGGCGGGTAGATTCCGTTGTTGTGAGGGGAGTGGATAGAGTGCTACTGCCAGTGCGAGGAGGGATGGTGCTGCTGAAGCCGGGGCCCATTGGAGTCGAGCTGCGTGTGGTCGGGATGCTGGTGGTGCTAGGTAGACCGCTAGAGCTTGAATGAGCGGCTGAGCTCGGTGGTCTGATTGATGAAGAATTACTGAATCGAATGCTGGAGCTGGGGGTCGAAATGGCCGGGGTTGAGAATGGTAGAGACGAGGAGGTAGATGTGCTCGGAGGAGGGCCGAAACATTCGGTGACGGTTGTTGTGACTGTTGCCAGGGGACAGCTGCTGATTGTAATTGTCGTTTGATGGGTGGTCACACTCGGGGGACAGGCAGCACAGAGAGCTGTAGCAATTTCACAGATGGCAGACGAGAGTGATTGCGAGGAAGCCACGGCAGGTGTAGTGGTGGGAGGGCAAGCGGTTGATATGTGACATTGGCTATTGCAAGGGCTTTGATCATTGGATTCCCGAGCCATGAGCATAGCACCCATTAGATCAGGATTGACTCTTTGTCCCAGTTTGGCATTGGCATCGCGTTCAATATTAGAAGCCTCCTCGCCTCGAACTGGGGAGCCGACGAACAAGATGCAAGAAACGGCCAGCAGGGACCAGCAGTTCTTCGAAAACATGATCGAAGCCAGCTATATCGGTGCACGATCCCCAAAGAAAAGAACACAGTCGGGATCAATTTTCGCTTGAATTGCAATTTGCGTATGGCGGCCAATCCGATTGCTGAACAAACGAGCTCGACGGAGACAAGCGCCGGATAGTATTTTCGCCAGGAAAGCGAGAATCAAGAGCAATAGAAGCAAGAGCAAAGCACACTGCAAAAGCAAGACAGTGTGGGATCATAAACACTATCTAGGAGAAGATCAAGTCTGGATTGCAGCAAAGACCTCGTAATATGTAGCGCACCGGAATTTTCTCCTCATAGTGATCCGTACTCGATGTCATGACACATTCCTTTGGGAGTCGGAACTTAAGAAAACATTGCATATTTGAGTTTCGGTGTCGTCTAGCCTTAGGTTTGCCCCTGTGTTTATGGTGCCGTGGTGCTGAGCAGGTTTGGGACGTCCTATTGGAAATCATCGGAAGGTTGATGCCACGGTTGGGCTTCCCGGCTACCCTCATCGTGACTTTCCGGTTACATAGACCGTGATGGGGTCGAGGTACCTGGGCGGAAGTCTCATGCGAGAGATTTTCACGGCCAGATGCAATCTAGGTGAACGGTAAAAAGCACCGGTCCACTTTTGATGACCTCCCTTCGGGGCCAAATTCCAACTTTTAAGGCAGGAGCTCTCGAGCTTGTTCGATCAAACCGAATGATCGCATCACACGGTTAGTTAGGTATTTAATAACTGTACAAATGTCTGAAATTTTGTATTAATGAATTGTATTTTATCTTTATTGACTGAAGAACATTGGGAGAAGCTATATACCGAACTTGAAAGCCAGCCATGTCGACACGGATGCACTTGGTGGTCGCTTGAAATAACAAATAACATCAACGCCAATGTGAGAAAATAATTTTGACAATTGAAATTAAACAATAAGAGAAAAATTCCTTTCGCCGTCAAATCACTTTTGGTCTATGGGTCGTAAAGCCGTGCGATGGTGAGAAATTATAAAGCCGAGCCTGCATCAGGTGCCCGTTTGATGAGGGAGAAGAATCTAGTAGACGGCGAAGGGGCGACGCCAGCCGACTTCGATGACCTTGACAGCGGTACAGCATGCCAGACCAACAGCGTAGCAGGCGGTGGTGAAAGCAATGAGGCCCCAATACTGTCCGTCGCAACGAGTCAGGATTTCACCAGCAATCGGTATGCCGGTAAGAGTTCTGGTAGAGAACGGACGGTACGTTAGTTCAAAGCACGAATGACATTAGAGGTAACAAGGGAAGGCTCACCCAAAGCTCACTATGGTGTAGGCAGTTGCATAATACCGACCATAATGCTCGGTCTTGCATAGCTGTCCAACACAGACGGGTGTCAGGCTAATATTGCTGCCGCTAGCGAAACCAAACACCAAAGCATAAATGACAAGCAAAGCCAAGCTGTTGCCGGCAGGAAGCCAAAGGCACGCATTGCAGAGCAAGCACAGAGCCACGGTTACGATTAGAGCATTGAAACGGCCCAGGAAATCTGCAAAGAACCCCGGAAGCGATCGGCCGAAGAAAGAACCCACGTTCAAGATGGCCAGGATTTGGTAAGAGAACTCGGTGGAAAAGCCGTGGGCCAGAGCATATGAGGAGATGTAACTGATAGGGACGAAGAGGCCCCATTCGATGAAGAAGACGCTCGCCGTAGTCAAAGTGAATCGTATGTCACGGAAGATGCGGAAATCGGGCAAGACATTCTCCTTCGAGAATTCCTTCTTGGGTAATCGAGATTTGATGAGGAGGTTCGCGAATCCAAAGGCGATCAAACAGATCAATGCGATGACGCGAGTAGCCCAACCCCATCCAATTTTTGGGAACAGGGCTTGCAGAATCAAAGGAAAGGCTATGCCTCCAACGGAGCCACCAGTAGCTGCGATTCCGGTTGCGAGTCCTCGTCGTGCATAGAAGTAATGACCGATCGCAGCGATGGCTGGGGTGAAGATGAGAGAGACACCGACTCCGCCAAGAACACCTATCGTCAGCATAAAATGCCAGTACTTGGTGCAGAAACTAAGGAGGATGATCATGGCTATTTCACAAATCGATCCGGCGAGAACAAGAAAACGAGGTCCTTGCGCATCGAAGATGGGTCCAATCTGCACACCGCAGAAGAAGGTCAGGAAGGCGTACATGCCGAAGATCCATCCTATGCTACCGGAGCTGTAATCTTTCAACTGGTGGCTCTCAATGTATGCCTGAAGTGTGCCGATGGTGTTGAGAAGCCCCAGAGATCCAAAAAGACCGAGGAAGCTGCCAAGAACCACAAGCCATGCTTCCAGTCCTCCTTCCGGGTAAGTGTTTCCTTCTGCGTCTGTGGTCACTCTGCTCATAGGATCTCTGTGAACAGATCTATGCGACGGAGCTATTGTTGACGCCGTCCGGTGGAAATCACCTTCGTCTTGCGCAGAAGTCTGCTCTTGTTCGGGTAGCTGGTGGGTTGAATCTGCCGGGGTCTGCTTCTCGGGATCTGTCACTTTGGTCGTGGTCTTTTGCAACTCTACTTGCGCTGTCTTCTCATCGTAGTCGGTGGTAGTCTGCATCTCGGTAGCCGCAGCTATGATGCCCTCGTCAGCATGATTGCTATCTGAGAGGGCGTGGTCATCGTGAGCAGCTGCATCGGATGTGTTGTTGTTGGGCTGGACCTCGGTGGACATCATACGCGGAGTCTCCCAGTATGTTTTCCGCAATGATGAATGCCGTAATGATATTTATGATGCTTTGTCCAGTATGAAACTGTTGGTTGTCTTTAAGTCTGACAATAAAGCCAAGTTGGGAAGTTGGATGGCATTAACAGAAAGGCACAGAGAGCGAGAGGGGTCCCCATTAGCAATCAAATAAGCCGCAGTCATCATCCAGACCCCGGGTATCTCAAAGGTAGCGCATAGAGCGGAATACTCCCCATTGGCCTTGGGCGTGTTTTTAGGGGGGTTTCTATGCCCTTTTCGGCTCAGGACAAAAATTTTCGAACCAAGATCTGGATGGCTATTGGTACGTAGGGCCTTGGCGGAGCGGGTGAGTCGCCTCCACTTCCGCATTTAGATGTTACTGAAGGGAGCTACGCTATTAAGAAACCACATGGCTGGGGGGCGTGTCACTTTTGTGTAGATGAGCAGGGATCTTCATTGCTAATCTGATTTCCAGAAGACTCTCATTGCCCTAGGCGCCCGATAGAGCGCCACTGTTGACTGTTGTATAGGGCAAACTGTCCGAAGTGCGTCATGCAGCTCCTCGGAGAAATTACCAAATCACATCATCATCTCACCGCTAAAATTTCCGAACACTAGGCGGGAGCACCCGACAAGTCATTTTCGATGAGTTACACTTTCATATCATCAACAACTAACTATTCAGTGTACCTAGTAATTACAGAACAAAGGGGAAACAGCATCGCCTGACATATTAATGGTGATATTGATCACCTTCTAGGGCCGTAGGGGCGTAAGCAACGTTTTCCTGCACGATATTACTATGACCAATCGAGTTACACCTGACGAACTACAAATTGTAGTACATATATATATTCATGCTTTTCCAAAAACAAACAAACTTGGCGGAAAGTTTTGTAAGGTATCCATAGTCATCCACTCGGCAATCTACAAAGAACAAAGCACCCAGATGACCATATAATCATCATTCTTACTGGCTCAAAGTCTAGCTAGCTAACCTCTCGGTGATTCATATTACATGCTCGATCAACTGCCCTAGACAAGTACTTCAAGCAGTGGAGATCAATAATTTCTCCTTCATGTAGCACATTTCCTGACCAGCTCATATACAACTGGGCTTGTGGTTTAGTGGTATAATACTCCCTTAGCATGGGAGTGGTCCGGGGTTCGATTCCCCGCGAGTCCAGCTTATATTTTTTTGGGGTTTGTTTTTTTTTGGTTTGTTTTCTCCTCATGTCGGTCTCAAGCGACCTGGAAATCTCCTGGAAACATAGATTTCTTTGGGATTCATGAAAAAAAGCTTGAACAAGACCTGAGTGGACCACAGCAAGGACTACAATCATTGGTGGGTATATTAGTTTGTTGATGCTTGATACATTTGCAATTCGAGCTCTAAGGTTCTTCCTGCACTTTCGATCCTTCATCCCCGCTAAGAAGAAATAACACTCGAGTGTAAGAGATATCTGCTATTTTATTAGCGCCGGAGCTCTAGAATCGGATAATCAGGGAGGGACCGATGGCCGTTTGAGTCATCTCTGTTGGGTCCCGGCCTGTTTACAACGTTTGTGCAGATGTTTGCGTTCGGACGGCTTTATCTGATCATTTTGCTTATTATTGAGTTAGATGATATGGCTAGGCTCATATGTGTCAAACCAACTTATGGATTGGGCATTTGTCCTTATCACTGAGTTGCAAGGGTTGGTGTTGTTAGCTCGTGCTGGCTAGCTCGTTTGTACTTTCTAGCACGGTCCAGCTGATAAGAAACACGGCACGAGGTCCCTTATCGCATGCAATTTGCCAGACCAGCCACATCCGATCAACAGAGTTTCATCTCAAGCCGAGGCTCTGTCCAAGAGTAACATCCGAATATGCAGGCACTGACCAACAGATGCCCCCCGAATCAAAGATCAAAAAGCTTAGCATTATCTTCACCATGGGATAGGCCTTATACGAAGCGCTAGAATCATCTTTTGAACATTCTACGATCAGGTACCATTGCAGCTCCCAATTCGCAGGAACGCCATTGTCCCCGCACAATACCACAAGCTTTGCCTCGGCGGGTATGATTGTCAGGGGTTGACTACATACTTAGTTCATCTCAATAACCCCGACCAATCCAATACCGACCGCACAGACTGCCTCATCGGGAGAGGCGGTCCGCTGACCCAGGTTCTTTGTTGTTATGCAATATGATGCCTTTTGCTGTAGTCAGTTCTTCACGCCACCCCCATGCGCGATTTAACCGAGCGGGGTGAACACCACGGAATACGGTAGATAGAGAGGCTATGTTCTCTGCAGATGAGGGGAAAAAGATAACCCAGGCCAATTGAATGAGGTTCCTTGTTTGCCGCCTATACGAGCTTCATCATCGCGAGAGATCCATTTCCCGGAATCCGACGCTGGCCCGGCAAGCCCTAATTTACTGCGTTCCGCGTCGAAGCGCCCGAGGACCATGAAGTCCAACGGAATTTCCTCGTTTGTTGGACATCTTGGGAGCAATAAAGAATCGCCTCAGAGCCGTGGCCGAAATGAATTCATCAGGCACGATACGGCAGACAGCGCCCCATCGCGAGACCAAATCAGCTGTCGAGATCCTGACGACCTGCCATCTCAAGTTAGGCGGGACGGTCTACCCCGCCTGCACAGATGTCTTTGGCTGATATCAGTGGCTTTTTGGCCGGAATTGGGGTTGCATTCGGAGGCGTAGAAGAAGCATTCGCCTAGCCGCATTTTAAGTAGCTTGGTGGGCCAACGCCAAGCCATACTGGGCCTGGAGTCCCCCAATCGCCACGCCGAAGGAAATGGAGAGATACTTGGAACTGCTCGTTTATCTGTGTTGGCCGCACGTCTCCCCGTGCCATTTAAATAGGCTCCATTGCTCCACTCCATTCGTGAGTAGATCGGTGTGCAGGGGACCTCCTTTTCTACTTCTCTCGAGTTTGGGTTCTTCGCACCCTTCATCTTTACAGGATGCTGTTTAAATCAATCCTGGCCTCGGCTGTGCTGGCCCTTTCCCTGGGCGTGGACACTGTTGTTGCATCTAAACACGGACGTCTCGCACAGCTCGCCCGTGATCCTCTGGAGAGAGCCAAGCGGGCCGTCGATAATGGCCATGCTAAGCCAATCCGCTCCACAAAGGACTACCGTTTCTTGAACGAGAAGACTAAGAGTAAGTGAAATCTAAAAAACAATGGACGATGATGTGGGTTTGCGACTGACTGACCCTTTCAGAAAACCTGGTTCAGCACCTTCCCGACGTCCCCTTTGATATCGGCGAGATGTACTCGGGCCTCATGCCCATTGACATGCATAATGAGTCGCGGGCGCTTTTCTATATCTTCCAACCTACCATTGGAGAGCCCGTTGACGAAGTCACCATCTGGATGAATGGCGGACCTGGCTGCAGTTCCATGGAAAGCTTTCTCCAGGAGACTGGGCGCTTCCTTTGGCTGCCAGGTACTTATGCACCCGTGGAGAACCCATACTCTTGGGTCAACTTGACCAACGTGCTCTGGTATGTACTTACCAGAAGAATGGAAAGTAAGAAGTCTTGAGAAGTGCATGTACTGACCTGGCTCATCTTACAGGGTTGACCAGCCAGTCGGAACCGGCTACTCCATTGGTACGCCTACTGCCACTACCCAGGAGGAGACTGCACAGGACTTTGTGAAGTTCTTCAAGAACTTCCAACAGACATATGGTATTAAGAACTTCAAGATCTACGTGACGGGTGAGAGCTATGCTGGCCGCTACGTCCCATACATCTCGGCTGCCATGCTCGACGAGAAGGACAAGGAGTACTTCGACCTGCAGGGTGCATTGGCATATGATCCCTGCATTGGTCAATTCGATTACGTCCAGGAGGAAATTCCCGTTGTTCCCTTCGTGAAGGAGAATAAGAACCTCTTCAACTTCAACGAGACATTCATGGCTGAACTGGAGCACCTCCACCAGTCATGTGGCTATGCCGATTTCATCGACAAGTACCTGACCTTCCCTCCACCCAAGGAGCAGCCGCCTCTCTTCTTCAACTACACCAGCATGGCGAGCTGTGATGTCTTCGACATGGTATACAATGAAATCTTCAACATCAACCCCTGCTTCGATCTGTACGAGGTGAACCTGATGTGCCCATTGCAGTGGGATGTGCTTGCCTTCCCGACTTCACTAGTCTACCAACCCGCCGGTGCGACGGTGTACTTCGACCGAGCGGACGTCAAGAAGGCCCTACACGCACCCAATGTGACTTGGGCCGAATGCTCCAACAACCCGGTCTTCGTCGGCGGCAGCTCTGGTCCCGAGCAAGAGGGTGACACCTCGGCGAACCCGATCGAGCACGTCCTGCCGCAGGTCATCGAGGCTACAAACCGTGTTCTCATCGGCAACGGCGACTTCGATATGGTCATCATCACTAACGGCACCCTGCTGGCCATCCAGAACATGACCTGGAACGGCCACCTCGGTTTCCAGGAGAAGCCTTCCACCCCAATTGATATTAAGATCCCAGATCTCCAGTACAAGGATATCTTTGCGGAGAACGGCGCTTCCTCTCTGGATGGTGCCCAGGGTATCATGGGTGTTCAGCACTATGAGCGTGGTCTCATGTGGGTGGAGACCTACCAGTCCGGACACATGCAGCCGCAGTACCAGCCTCGTGTGGCCTACCGCCACCTGGAATGGTTGCTGAAGCGCACCGAGGAGATCTAAAGGTGTCTATAAATATAGTCGACATTTCATTGCATTGCGATGGTTAGCATTGGGCGAGCCGTGCAGATGAACACTTAGTCCTGTATATAGTGACGAAGCACATAATAATATGTATTGTCCACCAAGAAAGTCCGGATTTTCTCATAGCTGGCTCGACTACTTCTGACTGTAAGCGCGCGTTGGCCGCAACTTGACTAGCATAGTTCATTGCAGAACATTTCGTGCGAACGTTCAAGAAGTAAGTGTATTTCAATGCCGAGTTTACATACCCCGAAATTTTTTAAACCGGGCCGTGAACATCCGTCTTACAGCTGCTTGTGGCATAGAGATCCCGAATTTAGCGCCTTCGATATGCAGCTGTGAAGACTGCCGAGTATAAAATGAGGTTTTCCGCGGGAAACTCCTAGTGTCTTTAGCCTGTGATGTCAAATGCCGGGACTGGCCTGCCCATTTGAGTATAAATTTTCTTCGCCAAGATTGGGGCCGGGGGAATTCGAGGCAGCTTATCAACGAATTGGTGGTGTATCAGTGCTTCTGTACTCGACATCAGCCGCCACGCTGGTTAAGAACACATGTATGAGATACGGATCGTGTAGTTGATACAGCAAACTCTTTTGGGGACGACGCCCGCCGTTCGTGCATGTTGCATGCATATCTTGGGCTGGATAATCTATAGGCAAATGGTTTTAATTTGGGTAAGGAATCAGACCTATAAAACTCTCGGCACTTGGATACCGAAAATGCTCAAGTAGTTCTATTGTCAACCAGGCTGGAAATGATCCTCATCTAATTTTTGTATATGGTGGCAGGTCATTCAATCTGTTTACACCGCTTGTTGACATTAGATCGAAGACTTTTAGTCCTTACTGTAGAAAGTAACGCTGATACTTGATCACAATACCAATTGAATTGCTTATTCCAGAAGGAGTAAACCATTCAATCTAAATTGTGCAGCCTGTTTATACGTACCCACAAATTCATGTTGTACAACTGATGCCTCGGATCCCTGTAGCGCCATACCCAGTCTGCGCCAAGAGCCAGGGGCTATCCGCCCAATAGGCTCTTTAGGTTCTTCCAGATCGTTGCAGGGGTTTGAAGAGGGTGTGAAAATTTTTATATCGCTCAGTGGAGTGAAAAAACCCAAGAAATCCTGTTTCTCTTGAGTGATACAGTAATAATGCAGTCCTATGTTAGTCTCCTTTTTCTGACGAGATAATCCCATCCCACATGGTATGATGGTGCGTGGTCTCCAGACGGTTGGTGCCGTCCTGAACCCACCGAGAATAATGAGGGGTCATCCCGTATTTTGCTCGCATGTCGTTGCCGAGGGACTCTGCGACGTCTGCTTTCTCTTTGTTCTTTTTCCAAGTGGACCCGGTAAGAATCAAGTTTCACACCAAGGCCAGAAAAACATAAAATGAACAGCGCGACTGCCAGAGGCGTTACGACAAGCAGTGGTATGGGCGTTGCGGCGGGCGGCGCCTCCCAGCGCCATCGGTACAAGGGTGAGTCTCGGATCGTGAAGTGGTAATCTACGAGCCAACAAAAGATCCATTTTCAACAGGCTCTGGTGCTTTTCATTGGTCTCGGCAAAACGAAAATACGGCGCTCGCCCATGGACTTCCTCGATTTCCCGGAAGCGGCAAGATTCGCGCCTCTGCCAAGAAGTTGGAGACGAAATGGGTTGGGTGCTCGACTCCGGGCTGAGAGGCTCACCGTTGGGTTGGGGGCTCATTAGGTGTCACAAGGATTGATTAGAAACATCAATGTAGTCATCCTGCCTGAGAATAATCTGCAAGTTGAAAGATTGACTTACTGTTGACGAGTGTAAAAGGAAAAGAAACACGAGGGATGACAGGAACGAGGCAGTGGGATCGGGATGACGTCTGTGCCGCACAACGTGGAGATGAGAACTGTGTCCGGCCCGTGTTTTGTCCGGTTTTGGGATTACCAGTTGACTGGAGGACACTCTTGACCCCGTTGTCGAACCGTGAAGTCATGCATAGATAGTACTATACACGTCAAGTCGATCATATGGATTAACCTGCTTGATCCTAGTACAAATATAAGAATATCTAAGCGGTTATGAGTAGGTTTATATGCGATACTGTAAATCGGCTTTTGTACTTTGTTCAGCTCGGCTCGTGTAATTTACGCTACAGTTCAAAATAGCCCCAATCGCCCACTCCGGCCGATGGAATTGGGTCCCACTGCAAAGGCCAAACCGGCTGGGTTTCGTGTGCTCATTGGCAAACGACATCCTACCACTCAAAGAAAAATTTTCATCCCTTTGCTTCTTTCGTAGTCGGACGAACCCGATCGCCGAGAAATACCGACTGGATGGCCTGATTCTTTTGCCTCTGCATATCTTGAACTACTTGGTCGAGGTTGTGGCGGATTTGCCTCTCTAGAGCCGTGTCTCTGCAGCATGCATAGCATGTATTCACATTACGACGACCACTTTGTATATACGCCCACGAAAAGTCCTCGTCAGGGCCCATTCTCAAAAGGACTTAGCGCCGTCCGCCCTTCGCGCTAGACCCGTAATAGGCCCGTTTTCTCTACCATTGAGCCAATGCTGGCCTGGCCGCATTTTGTACCGCAGAACGGCCAACCCGTAATTTAATCCATTTCGAAGGGAAAAAGATAGGAAAGGGAAGGAGGGATGCTGCATTCTGTGAGACCGTGGATTCTATATATTCTCTCATCTGTCCCACCCTTTGACCATTTTTCCCTTCTTCTTTCGTCCGTCCAAGTTCCTCGTCTTTACTTCCCCGCTCTCCACATTCTCTCTCCTCTTCTGGGTCCGGGGTATAGCTTCATACAGCTTTCCTCACCCACTCTCTTTCCACGGAACAGTTTGTTTCTGGGTTAAATTTAGGTCGAGCCTGTCCTCTGATTTTGTCAAAAGTCAAAAGAAGCAAAAACAACAGAAAGAATTGGTCTAATCTTCGGAGACCTACCATCAAGAAGGCTATTCTGCAACAGACGACTACTTTGAAGTAGCAATTCGACTTTGCGCCCAATCGACCGTTGCGAACACCCATTCTTCCATTGCGGCACCTTTCAACTCTCCCTGTGCGAACTTGCCCACGACTTCACGATCTTATCCGCCCGGTTCACGATTTAGGACTCGACGTGCGCCGCTGCTTCCATTGCGCCATTCTGTAGTCTTGCCCCAACGGTCAACTTACGATAACTTGCCTTATACACGAAGTTTTCGACAAATTCTTTGCAGATAGCAGCGATTCGTTTTTTTGGCCCTGAGCAACAAGCCCCACAAGCTCACTCTATTTTCATCAGTTTCGAACGCGACTTGCCTATAAACCGCCAACATGGGTCTCCTCTCAAAGCTGACCCCTTTCAAGAAAGATCGCCAGAATTTCCCGGGAGTGGTGATACCACTGGCCGATGCTCCTGCCCACAAATCTACAAACACGGATGAAAAGGCCCGCAAGTCTTTGGACCGTGCGCCTTCCTCCGAGAATGGCTCTGCTGGGTCGCTCGGTGAATCGAGCCACTTGACTCTCGAGGCTCTTCGTGCGGAGGTGGAGTCTGATATCTCCACTTCCGGCCGTGATTCGTTATATGATCGTATGTGCCATTGTCCCTCTCAATTCGTTCTTGAATCTGTTTCCCAAAGCGCCTCTCTCGCCTTCCTTTCCCAGCGTGAACAAACAATCCTGTTCTGCGAGTAAAGATTTTCTGTCCGATTCTAATATTCGTATTCTTGCAGGTAAAGCAAAGGTGATCAATCGCGCCCTCCAGGATATTGGCATGGGCCGATATCAATGGGAGTTGTTCTTCCTATGTGGTTTCGGCTGGACCGCTGATAAGTAAGCCTATTTCCCTGGAAATCCGTTCTTTTTAGATGTTGGGAACCCAGCTAAAGTTTTTCTTCTTCTACTTAGTCTCTGGCTTCAGGTGAGAATTGTTGGATATAGTTCATGGTCACCTGGGCTGACGCTAACAATCTGTAGGGAGTTGCTCTAACATTGACACCTCTATCATATGAGTTCGGTATCTCCGAGTCGCATGTCCGATTCACAACTTGCGCGCTGTTCTTGGGTCTGTGCATCGGTGCCTCTTTCTGGGGTATCGCATCCGACATCATCGGTCGTCGATGGGCATTCAACACGACCTTGTTCCTTGCTGGTACCTTTGGCCTTGCTGCGGGTGGTGGTCCCACCTGGATTGGGTATGTAGCTAAACTTGTGTGCAGTGTGTTTTAACCATGGCTAACCTTGGATAGTGTTTGTGCTTTGTACTCCTGCCTTGGTCTTGGTGTTGGTGGAAATCTGCCGGTTGATGGCGCTCTCTTCCTCGAGTTCCTGCCCTTCGCCTCCGGTAATATGTTGACCATGTTGAGTGTTTGGTGGCCTATCGGTCAACTGATTGGCAGTCTGTTCGCCTGGGCATACATTCCCACCTTCAGCTGCTCTAGCATGGAAGGCTGTACCAAGGGCCAGAACTGGGGCTGGCGCTATCTGGTCCTCACCCTGGGTGCTCTCACTTTCTGCATGTTCGTCGCGCGATTCTTCTTCTTCCATCTGTACGAGTCGCCCAAGTTCCTGCTATCCCGCGGCCGCCAGGAAGAGGCCGTTGCATCGGTCCACGGGATCGCATACAAGAACAAGACCAAGACGTGGTTGACCAACGAGATCCTCAACGAGATCGGTGGCTATGCTGAGACCAAAGAGGAAGAGAAGCTCACCCACACCCAGATCGTAAAGCGCTTCTTCTCCAAGTTCTCCATGCAGCGTATCGGTCCTCTCTTCGCGACGAAGCGCTTGGGTTTCAGCACCGTCCTTCTCTGGTTCTGCTGGGCTACTATTGGCATGGGATACCCCCTGTTCAACGCCTTTTGCCTCAGTATCTCTCCAAATCGGGCGGTACCACCAACTCAAACTACATCACCTACCGCAACTACGCGATTACTTCGATCGTCGGCGTCCCCGGCTCAATACTGGCCTGCTACACCGTTGAAATCAAGTATATCGGCCGCAAGGGAACCATGGCCATCGCCACCATGATCACTGGCGTGTTGCTGTTCTGCTTCACTGCCTCCTCCAACTCCAATGTCCAGCTTGCCTGCACTTGTCTGGAGGCTTTCTTCCAGAATATCATGTACGGAGTGCTGTACGCTTACACCCCCGAGGTCTTCCCGGCCCCGGTCCGTGGTACTGCGACTGGTATCTGCAGCTGCCTGAACCGTATTGCTGGTCTGTGTGCTCCGCTGGTGGCTATCTATGCTGGTGGTAGTAGCCCTGATGCGCCGATCTATGCTTCCGGTGGACTGATTCTTGCTGCATTTATCGCGATGACATTACTCCCGATTGAGACTCGGGGTAAGCAGACTCTGTAAAGTGAATGGAAGATTGTATATGGGGCTTTTTGAGACATTACTTCCAAAACCTTTTTTTTTCTTTATTTCAGTTTGTCATGTTATGGAGCAACGCAAAGGACCTTCAACTTAGATATATACGCATGCTAGATACCATCATGAATTTCAATTAAATCAAAAAATTATTTTGATACGATATCTCTGCTTAGTAGTGTCTCGTAGTCTGAAGGCTCGTAGTCTGAAGGTGCATTTTAGGTCCGTTTCATCCTAAACGGACCTAATGTAAACCCGTGGAAAGAGGAATGAAAAGAGGGGTTGAAAAAAGTGTTAAAAAACCGGTTGAGATACTATAAGCGCCTCAAAATGGCCCAGCAGCTGTTCGTGGAGAAAGCCAGAAGCTCCGACTCGGCATGAGGCTTCTTCTTGTTATCATCTATATGATGAGGACTGATTCATCGTCCAGATCCCATTCGGGGTCCGACAAAGAAACCCTACCCTCTGTAAAAGCCACTCGTAGCTTCACCGTAATCGAATCTGGAATATAGGTAGCCAGCCATCTTGGATTGGAGATTCGGTTGCGGAAGCGGGAAGGGGCAAAATCAAGTACATAATATAACCCAGGCAAAGGAACTGTCGCAAAAAATGGTTCTCAGTTGACGGAGTGCTTTGCAGATGAAGTTGTGACAGTCCTCGACGGTTGATGGTACTGGAGTAGTGCAGGGCCGCCGATAAGCGATAAGGGCGATAAGACCTGTGTGGGGGTCAATGGGTTCCATATCGTCGCAACATCATCTCATCACCTCACCCAGAGTGTATATCTGGCACCTAGAGTTGGATGACCCACCATCGAGAGTTGACTAAAATGCGCTAAGCCTTTTAAGAACCAACTCTCGAAGTGAGATTCCGAAACAGGTTTAGCGCCGTATATTAAACAAGCGGATACACACACACACGTAGAAATTGAATTTTCTCCTTCCTTCCCACTGCCGGCCGACCGAGCTCGTTCACATACCCAGCTTATTATACGTTTACCATGGCTTCCACAGGGAGTGAATCGGATAGGATTGATGAGGAAAATGATCGTTTGATTACGGAGCGGATGATACGGGAGGGAGAGAGCCAAGTAAGCAGATATCTACTAGATATCTTCCAGACATCTGGCAGATATCCAGGTCACATTCTCATAAATGTTATTAGTGGAGCCCCGATCAACCAGGACCGACCTGGCTTACCGAGAGTAAGGGGCACCGTCTCAGTGCTACCGATATTGAATACGTTGAGGATCTACCAGAGTACCCGCAGACTAGTGAGGGTGGATATGCCTATGTTATCCCTGTCGGGGAACGCACAGCCGAGCAGGTTCATGCATTGATCTTGACAACTGTATGTGTCAGACTAGATATCCTATAGATATCTACCGGATATCTGACATACTCTTATAGGTACAGTACTCGTACCGTCAAGTCTACGCTAATAAAGCCTGCAAGAATGATAGTTTTCGTGGTACTGACTACACACACTCACGATATACCTGCTCTGGTGCATTTGTGTGTCAATATAGCGACCCAATTATTAGGTCAATGTCGCACACAGCAGTTGACGAGGGTCTTTGGTCGACTATTCAGGGTATTCGGCAAAATATGCCCTTCATAGAAGATGATCAAGTTCGCAGAGAGACATATACGTAGGTATCTAGTAGATATCTGCTAGATACCTAGCTAACGCTTAGTAGATATTTCTCTAGCACGCACACCCTTTTCCAGCGCGGTACTAGCTGTCAGGCTGCTTTACCTTCTTGTTTCCCAGTCCTTACGCAGAGCGCTGATAGAACTCCGCTTGGTGGTTATACCTACGCAGTAACATGCGTAAACGAGCTTCAGCTTCCTGGCTATCACTATCGCTCAAACACAATTGCTAGGGACGGGAGTATTGACATTAAGTTTCTGGGTAGCTTATTGACTGGAGAGATTCCTAGTCTTGTGGAGTCATGCTGTGCGGTTGAAGGGACACTGAAACGTACTCCAAGATGCGGTAAGTTGCTAGATATTATCTAGATATCTGCCAGGTATCTAACAGATATCTACCGACTCTAGGATACTCCCATATCCAAGGCCCTGGGCAATGGGAGCGCTTAGGTTGTAAGGTTAGATTCGACTGGCTTATTCCCCAGGACCTTCAGAAATGCCCGTTCTTCGTCTTTATATCCACTGGCCGCCATCTCCACCCTCCAGTACCCCCGAAGCGGAGCCCTTCAGCTATTGTCGAGGGTCTAAAGAGGTTGATTACAAGGATAAACAGACCAGATCTTACAACAGGTATCCCCTAGATATCTAACAGACATCTAGCAGATATCTAACACCCCTTCAGGCAAATTTCTCGCGAGCCCAGAGCTACAGAGATTCTGTGAACAGCACCAGCATCATACGCTTACGGAACTTCATGTTAGCTTCGTGAATACAGATCGACTTGGGGCTATTATTCGAAAGCATCGCCTTCTATCATTTCCACAAGGCCAGAGTCTCAACGGGGTTCTGTTTGAACGTGATAGGAATTCGGAGATGAGGGTAAGCCACTAGATATCCCCTAGATATCCCACAGATGTCTAACGAATATCTAATTGCGCTAGGATTATACACGCGAAATCTTTAACGATCCTGAGGGTCCCATGATTATCTGTCTATTTACTGGACAAGCCCACCTCTTAACGAAGGCTTCATCCTATGAGGTTGATATGTCCTATAGGCGCGTGAAAGATAAGGATATAAAGGAGGTCGTTTTTGCATCTTTCTTTCCTTCAATTGGACGTAGTAAGTTTAACAGATATCCCCTAGATATCCGCCAGATATCTAACCCACCGTTCGTCCTAGTCCGAACCCTCTGTCGCGTGTTTACAACACAAGATACAAGGCTAGGCTACTACCGCTTATTCAAGCGTGTATATACACTTCTCGAGCGTATCACTAGGGTTAGGCCGCCAATGCGTATTATCGATGGATTTGGACTTGATATGGTTGTTGCTGATATGTGTGCAAAGCAATATTTTGGTAAGCTGGATATCCCCTAGATATCTACTAGATGTCTTACTTCTCCAGGGTTTGCCGATTTTCTCCACGACTACGATCCCGAGCACCGTGATGGTATAGTTTTAATACGTCAGATAGCTATCTTCTGCCATATTCACTTTACTAGAGGGGTTGACGATGCTCTGAGGCGTGCTGGTGGTGGTCAACCTGGTGTACGCCAACGAATGCTGCAACTCCTTTATGCCGAGGACCGGGAAGGGTATAACGCAGTTATCGACTTTTTAGAAGGTATTTAGATATCCCACAGTTATCCAGCAGATATCTACCAGGTTTCTAACGTCTCAACTAAGCTACTGAGCCCGCTCTCACTGACTGGGCTAAACATAAGCGACATGAGTGGGTTATGTGTGGCCTAAATCCAGCCTGTTCCGATACACCACCTCCGTACTTTGAGGCAATTCGTAAGAATACGAATGCTGTGGAGCAGACTTATCATAAATCAAACGTTCGTGGGAGACAGCTTACGCTACTTGCAGCAATTCTAAGGTAAGTCTCCAGATATCCCTTAGATATCTGGTAGATATCTAACCCCTTCTAGTTCCCTTAAGCTCGACCGCCAGGACATCCAGGAGTATGACGTTCGTCAACGATGGGCAATCTCTAGTCGATATGCAGATTCCTCAAGAGAAGCCTATCTCACACGGCATCTACATACTGCGCAGCAGCGCCGTGTTAGCCGGAATCGGACGCAACTTGATAATGAACCCCTTCTAGATCGGGTTAGTAGTAGTGGAGTGCCGATTCGTGGACGATCTTCTACAAGCTCATCAAGCCGTTCTAGATCAGCCTCCCGGCGCCTTACTCCTTATAATCGTCACCAGTCAACACCCGAGGATATAACTCTATCGCAAATAAGGAGACAGGCTGAAGAGGAAAGACTTCAACTTGAGCTTCAAGACGCTGCACTTCAGAGGATACGGCGACAGGCGGAAGAAGAGAAGCTACAAGCAGAGCTTATCGAGGCAAAGGTCCGACGATATAAAGCGCAGAAAGAGCTAGAAGAATTAGAGAAGGAAACTAGACACCCGGTAGATATCTGAAGATATCTAGCGTCTGAGGCTTCCGTTCTATAATATATATATATCTACGTGGTCTACGTCGAGAAAACATTTCGTTAAATTCGTCAATTTATGTAGGAAAACTACAAATTAATGTAGTAAAAAACCTCAGGGGCGCTCTATCTAAGCCTCATCTAGTCCCTCATCCTAGCTTTCCTCAGGGATATCAAAGGTAGCCAGATGATCGCAGATTGCCTTATTGAAAATGCATCCTAGGAAGAGTTAGTTATGACAGATATCTGTGGGATATCTAGTGGATATCTAGATACTTACTTTTCGGTAGGTCTGCAGCCTTACAGGCAGCGCAGGGGATATCCTTTCGGGCATTAAGACCCAGGATACGAAGGACTTCGCCTTTATTCACCTATATAATAGTTAGCTAGTTGTCTGCTAGATATCTGGAAGATATCTCATCACTTACCTCACCACCTCTCTTCAGTGGAAGAGGGCGCTTAGCCGGGGCGGCAGCAACGGGGGTAGCCTGCGAGGCTCCGCGGCTATAAAGACCATTGAAAAAGGCCTTAGCCGCATCCTTCGTGGCTTTATCCAGATTTCCAGCCTTCAGCGTAACGGGAGCAAAGCCGTCCTGGCTATGGGCCTTCTTCAGGTGCTCACGAAGCCCAACTGTCTTCTGGAAGGCTTTCTAAAAGCCTGTTAGATGTCTGCCAGATATCTGAGGGATATCTAGAGGCTCACTTTTCCATGCTCGCAGTCCGGCACCCGGCAAAACACCTCACCAACATGGACGATGACTTCATCATCCGCATTCTGTCAATCATCAGTCAGTTATCCGCCAGATATCTGAGAGATATCCACTTACTCTTTCGTATGCTGGGAGGGTCAAAACACCAGAGGGGGCATCATTTAGATACCGATCGAACGCGCCGCAGTTCACAAGGAACTTTGGCTTGTTGATTTCGAAGGCAGCCATCTAGATAACTGTCAGATATCTGCCACCACTTACCGCCTTCCCATTCAGGAGCGGCCAGACGTCCGACAGATATCTGGCCACTCCCCACCACCAATATCACTACCAACCACTCACCTGGGGCCCAAAAACTGTTGAAACTTTCTAAAAAATTGCCAAATCTGTGAGCCTGTTAGTTACCTGATAGATATCTGATAGATATTTGATGAAATTCGATGATTTGGGGGATGAAACCTACCGTGGTTCGATGGCAAGGGGGTGGGAGAGATGTGGAGGAAGGAAGATTACAGGTGGGGCTGTATGCCAAGGTATTTGGAGTGGGCCCGCCAGAGTTGGCCGCTAAATCCGATTAGGCTTAACGCGGTCCAACTCTCGAGATCAGCTTTTCCAACTCTCGGACTGAACTATTTCCTGCCTCACGCACTCTCCACTTCTCCTACACTCGAAATGACTACAAAACGCCCACTATTAATCCCACATAAACGGCCCTTACTTCCGCCAACCACACACACCACCACCAACCAAAAACATGTATACAAAGTGCTAAACCCCAACACGACAGCGCCAACCACGAACATGAAACCAGCCCTCGACGCCAACAAAGACGAACCAGTAACTGAACCCACAAATAAAACCCCCAGCCGAATTGAATTCTCCTTCGCTTCAGCTCCACAACCATTCCTGGATCCGCCGACCTGGGAAGCGATGCTAAAGCGAGCCCAGGCGAGGGCTGCTTCCGCGTCTGTATCCTTGGGTGAAGGTGAAAGTGCCTCAAACAGTACCAGTACCCGTCGGAGAGGCGAGAACTTGTCGGAGTCGTCGGAGCTTGAGACGCCCGATCAGCAACGAATTAGGCGAGAGCGAGAGGCTGAGTATGGGTCGATGGCTATTCGAGGGAGATCTAGTGTTAGTGGGCGGGGGAGGCGCACGAGGGCTAGTGGGAGGGGATACTGGGGTGGACAATATTGATTCAACTTTCGATTTATGGGCATTGCGGCTTTGTCTTGGTGAAGCGGGTACGGATGGACAGGTGTTTTTTTAGTTTATAGAACCTATTACAATTACGAATTGAACGATCTACAACGCAGACATCTCGTATCATGAAATAAAAACGCAGAGCCAGCTATCAATTCAATCCGGCTAAAAGACATGGTGTATATCCACCGCAACGCAGAGAGGCTTATCTTATGGTACATCTTGACATCATGGCCACCAAAAGATGGCCCAGGGAGGGGTACATGGTGCTGATTGAGCATGAGCGTTGAGCATAAGCATAAGTCATCGAGTCATCATCGTGCTTCGTAACATATCGGTTCGTGAATCTCGTATCGTCAAAGGAAACAGAAAAACATGAAAAAAAAATTGAAACAAGGGCATAGAACTGAGGAAAATCTCGTTTCATAAGCAGGCGCGGAATGTGTCAAGTGCAAGCCCCCAAATGTATCGTAATCTTCATCATCTGAAACATATCCACTGAATGCAGTGGACAAGATCATAAGAGCATGGAAAAAAAATCAAAAGGCGAATCTCAGTGCACGACCCCATTGGTCGCACTAGACACCACATAGACAGGGCCACCGATGCTCTGCTTCAGCGTTTCACGGCGTGAAGCTCGTTTCCGCTCGTCACGACGCTGACGGACTCTTTGAATTCGGGCGCGCACATTACGGAGCGACAATGATCGCCAGCGCATGCCCCAACGGGACAAGGCGCGGTAGCGATTTTGATATAGCGGTGATCCAGTGCGCAAAATACCACCATGGTCGACCAGACTGCCATGGCTGGCATGGTAACGCGCCGAGGAAGAGAGCCCATTGAAAAAGCGCTTCATCTCGGGGCTGCGGCGGTTCAAGGCGGGCGGACCCTCGAAGATGAGCCGCTGTTGTGGAAGGCCTAAAGAATTACTGACGAAGCCAGGCTCTGCGGGGGTCTGGATTGAAGGTCTCTCCTTCTTGGGGGATCCGGGGACGTCTTCCCAGAAACCACGTGGGCGCCAGAAAGGATGCAGGCGGCTATCCATTTCGATCCCTGCTTTGCGGTTCTTTGCGGATCGCATCGAGAGCGATCGAGTGATGGCATTGAAGGAATCCGACCGGGGGCGTGCACTCCGCGGGCGTCGAGCGGAGCTCCATCGGCGAACGAGACCCCCCACATTTCCTTTGGTGGAGTCCGTGGCCACATCCTGTGCTGGGAGTGGCGGCAGAGGTTTGGAGACTGGGGGCTTGGGCGGGGGACGAGGGTTTTTCAACGGGGATTCGACATATATCTCTCCAGATTGAACATGATTGTCTGGGGTCTGGGGATTGGTCTCATGGGTCGACAATCCTTGCTCCAACGCTGGGAACGCGCGTTGGTCGAGCGGTACCCGTTGATCAACTAACAGCAATGATCGATTGTTGTGCGCGAAGAGACTGACAGCGGTGGCTTCTCGAATTTCAATGGGACCCGGAGAGGATGATGGAATTGACCACTGCGTATACGGTAATGACGGCGGTCGCAGAGTTGCCATATCGTCCGTTGAGCTCACCATGATCCCCGGTAACTTGGGGGGCTCCAACAAACTCTTGCCATAGCCATTGGGACCAAGAATATTATGGCGAGGCGGCGAAACGGGCTGCTGATCACGACGCTTCTGCATCTCCAAATCCATCGCCAGAGTATGACTCCGCAGACTTTCCGAGGTGAGCGATGTGGCGCGAGAGTTATTGCGACTTGTCGGCGCAGAAAGCGAAGAGCTCCGCGGGGGGATGACGGGTCGACCAACGAGACGTCCTCTCGAGTCCATGTCTCGGGACTTTGCAGATACGGAATCTGACATGGTCCGCGGTCTTTGCCGTGGGACATTCACAGAGCCATCCGATGAGACAGGTGGGGGTCGTCGACTGGACCGCTGGGAGCCAGGTTTCGACGAAGTGTGACTGTTTGGTCCAGATTTGAGGGACGAGCGTCTCTCGGGGATGACCACTACGGGAATTATATCAGCTGGAGTGTGAGGTGCACTTGCAGTCGTCTTGGTGGAGAATGAGATGTCGGATGAAATGCTCCGACGGTCCTGCTCCGAAATGCGAGCCACCTTGTGAACAAGACGATGTTGCGAATCTGGATTGGAGGCCATGGATGCACGCTCGGATCTGGTGATTGGAGAGCTTGCAGAACGGAGGGAGGTTCTCTTCTCAGTGTGTCGCAAGGATCGGTGGGCTCGCTTTGGAGAATCGATGATCATCGCCTCGACGGTGGAAGTGGAGGAGACTCCTGATAAACGGCGTGACTCTGCTTCTTCTACATGGGAAGGTCCATCGTAGGATGGCCAGCCAATATCTTCGCGAAATCGTTCCATCGACGGGCTCTCGACCACTTGATGCATGTTTTGGACCCTATCCCGCAGATTCTTTTCCCTCATCAGAGACTTGTCGAGATGCAGTACGTCCAGCGTATCTTGATCTGGCTTTGGTTTCTGGTTTGATGCATTTCGGGACTCTGGAGGCTTCAGTTTCTCAACCAGTGGCGTTGGAGACCCATCCTGGATAGACGCCCACTCTCCATCGAACGACTCGAACCCGGTTTCATATTCTGTCTCGCTGAGCGGCTGTGAAGCAGAGGGTGGGGTTTCTTTGGTATATGTAAGTTTTGCGCGGACACCACTCCGCGCATTCTTTCTGCTGGTCGAGGGTGTTCGGTTCTTGGCTTTCTGCGACGCGGACTGGGATGTGGATCGAACGGGAGTTTCCATGTCGCCATCGGACGAGATGCTCTCGCAGGCAGTCTGGAAGGATTCGGCGCGCGATGACGACGACAGGTGCACGGTATTGTTGAGGGTCGGTCGCTTGATGGAAGTTGTACGCGGTGGTGTCACGTCGGGGGTGGGAGGTTTGGAGGGCCGACGCGGCGTCAAGATCCCCGTGGAGTGGTTCTCAGAGCGCGATGAGGTTATCTTTCGTGGCGTCTGTTCCTCTCCCATGCTATCTTCCTGGTTTGCGCCGGGCGGAGTGAGCGGAGGAGCCGGCGTCGCAGTGACTGTGCCATTTGACTCCGGGGAGGCCGGTTGGACCAGGTCGATCTGAGGGACCACGATGCCCCTCCGCGGGAGCGCCTTGTGGGACCTGAGAAGCGGTCGCTCTGGTGTGTCCACCGATGCGCCCATCGCTTCCACGCCAGGCATCTTGCTGGGCCCGGGCTTCACCAAATCGAGTCCTCGCGATCGTTGGGCGAATGCGACTGTAGGATGACTGGGTCAAGGTGGACAGAGCGTTATAATAGCATTGCAGGACTGGGTTTAGAGGATTTGGGGCGATGGTCGCGAGGATCGCATCGCGGTAGACGCCGACCGAGAACCCGGGGGGGGGGATTTGGCTGGATAGATAAGAACAAGCGAGTAGATGAGTCGAGGCAGATGGGTCTTTTTGGGATGCAAGGGAGTCGATCACCCGGTTTCGAGGGGCAGTTCCGAGTCAACAGGCCAGAGTTGCAGCTGGTGCATCCACTAGGAGGATGAAGCGACCAGTCTGTCCGGACAGAAGGCACAGTAAGGGTGAATAATTTTGGAGCGTTGGATTGTCAGGTGGGATTGGGTGGAAGTAGTTTCGGTGGCTGGGAGGAGGGGGAAGACTCGGCAGGCAACTGGACAACTCGGTCTTCCGTACAGAGTACGGAGACTTTTTAGGGTGGATGGATGGATGTACCTGTTGGTGCCCAGGGATGGAAGAGATCGAGGTTGAAGTATACAGGCAGAGAGCAGAAGAAGAGAAGTCGAGGATGATAGATAGGAAGAAAAAGAAGACATCACCCAGAATCGGTTGATGAACACGTAACCCTATGGAATAATGATTCGGGGCCTGCGTTTCAACTCCTTCTGGGTAAGTGTACGGAGTTCTGGACTAGCGTTTCGTCTGATGGATCAAAGGAACAAGCAAATGAAAATGACCGTTGGCCTAATCCGCCCCTTGGCCCCTGCAGCTCGCTTTGGGTTCCCCAATTCCGTCTCCGTATACTTCCGTCGAAGATTAGGTTGACAGCTGTTCAAACAGTGAATATCATGCCAGTGAGACTTCAAGTATCAACCTATCGGGTTAGAATGAGGACGCTCACGTACGATAGGACTCGTCTTCCAAATGTAAGCAGCGTATGCACAAGCGACGAGCAAACCACAAGTATTGAGAATACTCGAGTACTATATACAACAAGTCGTCACTCCATATACATTATCCTCCGGGCTGGGCCATGTGGGGATCGAGGATCAAAAGGCACGCGTTCCTGATCCTCGAACTCTTTTTTTCTCTTAATTCCTGGGTGTGGCGGCGCGGCCCCCGAGTATGCTACAGTAGATCGAATAGAATACGTGGACACGACGTGTTTCAGGGTCGCTGGTCCGCTGATGTCCGACTCTCCTTGCATCAAACATGTTTGATGTTTGGGTCTTTGAAATGCAGGTCTAAGTAGGTCTCTTTTCAATGTGCAAGCCACAGGCCTCACACATTCCAATCCTGCACGGGCTCAATGCGCGTCTCAGAGCTGCTTAGCCTCGGGGCTGACGAGCTGGATGCATAAAAAGGATACCGGCCTAGGCCTGGGGCTTTCTCGAGTGAGGTAATAGGTGAATGGATTCAATTGCGACTATATGGACCCACCTACAAGAATAACCAGGCGCAACTGAGCAGGAACAATAAGCGTTGACACTGTAGTCGTATCGGAGCTAAGGGTAGGGGGATGTGGCGAGGATGACGATATCAACTCCACCAACTTGGCTGGCCAAGGTCGGCAACTTGATCTCATACCCCGGGGGGAACGCTGGAGATCCTGGTTTTGCGAACAACGGGTCTGTGTGACCCAAGGATTGGGGGCAACACTCAGCTGGAAAAGCCAGGACCAGGAGGAGAAGTTACATATTGAACAACGGGAACGGGCGAGGCTAGCAGGGTTGAGAAGGCAATAGGCAGTGGTCTAGCGGGGCAAGAGCCGTCAAAGGCAGTCATACTTGGCGATTGAAAACATGCGGCGGCGCACTCCAGCCAAAGAAAGAAGCGCATGGAGATGAGGACGACGTCGTTGAGATATCATCCTGCACCCGAACCCACTGTAGCAGTGTGAGCTGGTTGAGCGGGGATCCTAGCACACGTATAATCGTAGATAGTCGTATCAATTGATCTAGGGGTCTGGTCTACTGTAATTGTTTGACAGGTGGACCGTCAGTGGCGGCGATGACGATGACGACAATCGGCCAGTATTTGAACGGAGAGGGTTTGGTATGTCCCTGTATCTCTCTCCAGTAGTGAAGAGATTGGAAGATAGAAGAATTCGACGAATGCTGGGAATTCCAATATTCACGAGAGATTATCCGTTAGAGATTCATTACGCAAGTTGGTCATTCAGGGGCAACCCGAACCAGTTCACGAATCGTGAAATTCATTCTCGTCGGACCCGAGGACGAGTCCTGGCGGGGAAGAGAAACGGCCATCCCGCCAAAACAGCCACGAAATCCCAATTCGATGACATCGCCCCGAAGATCCCACGTCGTCATCGGCGTTTTTCTCGATTTCCAATTTCCAATTTCCAATTTCCCCCTCTCCCCCATTTCTCCCCTCCGCTGGCTTAAACTGCAAATCTTGGGAACTCTGACCTCATCCGGTTTTCCTTTTTTCCCTCCCTGACCATCTTCCCTTACCTTTCCTCTCAGTGCCTCTTTTCGTGTCTCTTACATCTCTTAACCTTATCTGTGGCGAGGCACCCACCAACCTCAACTCGTCTCCTCCCCTGCTGACTGCCTAACCACCACCCCACGTCCGACGCCCTGCCAATTTCTTGTTTCCCTTTATCCTCTGGCAAACACCGGTCCACGATTCAAAGATTGCTGTCTCTCTCTCCCTTCCTCCTTCCCATCATGAGCACAATACAGAACATCAAGAATTTCATCCGGCATGGGAAACAAGCTCGCCTAGTGACGCCCCATTCTGAACCCACCACCGATGTGTCCACCGTCCACGCCGAACAGCAGCCACAACCACACGGTCAATTCGCTCCGGCGTTGGAAGCTTTCGATACCAGTGATACGCGAGGTAATGGTCAAGCTACCCAGCAAAAAACTGACGCTCAAGTGAAGCGCGATCGGTCCGTGGAAATCGAACGCCTCGTTCAGGAGGAACGAACAAGCCGCTCCAAGATGCCGCAATATCCTGGTCTCGACCGTTGGATCCTGGTGGATAAGATGGGCGATGGCGCATTCAGCAATGTCTATCGCGCCAAGGATGCTACGGGCGAGCTTGGGGAGGTGGCTATCAAGGTCGTGCGCAAATTCGAAATGAACAGCAATCAGGTAGGGCGACCAGAAGGTCTTGCTTTCCTAATTCCTTGGCTCTGCTCGTGTCTTTATCTTTTCTGTTTCCTTCTGTTCTGGTGTTGGATTTCATGACTCGAGGTGTGCTTTCCATGTTGGGGGAGAATACCATCGCCAATATCTTTCTTTCTTGTAGTCCGACCACCTTCGTCCCAACGTCAAAAACGTCCCATGGGCGGCGGAGGTGTGCATTCAATCTCCTACACCACAACTGACCTCGATCGGTAGTGGTGACTCCTGTGCCACTGTCTTTTCTCCTTTCTCTGCGTTCTTGCCATACCATTCCTTTTTCGAGTGTCGCGTCAGGCTATCCCGTTGCTAACTCTTGTCGGTCTTGTAGCGAGCGAATATCCTCAAGGAAGTCCAGATTATGCGCAACCTCGACCACCCCAACATCGTCAAGTTGGTTGACTTTTCTGAATCGCGGCAATATTACTACATCATTCTCGAGCTCTGCCCAGGTGGAGAATTGTTCCACCAAATTGTGCGATTGACATACTTTAGCGAAGACCTGAGCCGACACGTAATTGTTCAGGTCGCCAAGGCCATTGAATACTTGCATGAGACATCCGGCGTTGTTCATCGGTACGTAGCGATCATGCCCCCCACTAGGTCGAATGGATTATACTCACCTGCTGCGCAATACAGTGATATCAAACCAGAGAATTTGCTCTTCTATCCCGCTCCCTTCGTTCCGAGCACGCATCCGAAACCTAAGCAGCCGGGCGATGAAGACAAGGAAGACGAAGGAGACTTCATCGCGGGAGTCGGCTCTGGTGGTATCGGCACAATCAAGATCGCGGATTTCGGTCTGTCCAAGGTGATTTGGGACAGCCAGACCATGACCCCATGTGGAACCGTCGGTTACACAGCACCGGAAATTGTAAAAGACGAGCGGTACTCGAAGAGTGTAGATATGTGGGCTATGGGCTGCGTACTCTACACTCTGCTGTGTGGTTTCCCTCCATTCTACGACGAAAGCATTCAGGTGCTCACGGAGAAGGTGGCTCGCGGACAATACACTTTCCTCTCGCCCTGGTGGGACGACATTTCCAAATCCGCTCAAGACTTGATTTCGCATCTCTTGACTGTTGACCCCGAGAAGCGCTACAGTATCAAAGAATTCCTCGCACACCCCTGGATCCGTCAAACCGATGAGGAAACTACCCCAGCCGCTGATGCTCCGCCCTTGGCCACACCGTTTGGCCAGGCTCGCCAGGATGGCCCAGAACAACTCATCCCCGTTGGCGCTGATCAAGCTCCCTACCAGCCCGCCAGTTCCCGCATCCTGGATGCGCCCTCCTTGGCGTCAGAACGCCGGATGGACTTCCGCTCACCCGGAGCCTTCAACTTGCGCGAAGTTTTTGATGTCGGTTACGCAGTTCACAGACAAGAAGAAGAAGGCAAGCGCCGGCGGAACCGCCAACAGGCTGCCCGAAGTGGCCACCCGCTGGCTGGCTTCCAGTCTGCCCTGGGATCCCTTAATGAAGACTACGATGACGAACCTGAATACCGTCCCCGTGATGAGGAAACCACCGAACAACCTCCTCTCAAGGTTGCCAAGTCCAACACCCACGCAGGTGACGTCGCTGGAATGGAAGCAAAGCTGCGTTCCACGAACCTCGGCGCCCAGAGCAGCGCTGCTCAGGCCCGACAGGCGCATCGCCAGCCCAAGCAGCAGGGTTACGGACAACATGACGCTAAAGTCGCCGCTGCAGCCAAGAGTGTCATTGGCCGTAGGCCGCACGAACCATTCGAGCTCAGTCTGGATGGCGCAACCCTGCTGGAGAAGCGTGGGCGTCGCAACCAAGAACAGCCAGTTGCTTAAACAAATATCGGGACTTGTATACGGCCCAAAGACTTGATCTTCCTGCCCTCTCTCCTTTCCTGGTGACACCACTCCATATTAATTGCTTTGACGAGTGATATGATGCATGGATTCCCATCTCCCTCTTTCTCACATCTCATGTCCTGATCTTACACGACTCCACCTTGACTCGTCGTGATCAATACCTCTTATCCTTATCCTCTACCATCTACACCTTCATCCTTCTACTACCTGTCTCTACATGTCCTTTGATCCACCCAGCGAGGAAGAGCATACATATTTCAAGATTTTTGATTACGAGCAGAAGAACATGACTGCGCCTATTCATCAGCATCTCCCTGCCTTATGTTTTCATCGTTTGTGCTTCTGCGTCGCTCGGGGAGCTTGCTGGCACTGGTCGGATGGAGTTCGTCTTGTTTCCATAGGGATCTCATACGTTTAACTTTGTTTTATCTTGTGCCTACATCTGGGTTCTCACTATTTCCACCGTCTTTTTATCTCTTTCTGTGACGTCATCGAAGATCTCCCGAATTGCATTTCTCGCTACTCCTATGTTGTCCGTATGGCGACTGGGTCCTTTTTTGATCCCTCTTTCTCTCACCATGCTGCCTTGGCTCTTTGGTTCTGTATTATGCCCATTGCTTCGGTAGATCATGTAGTAGGTGCTCTTTTTTTCTTGCGTTGCGTCTAGACTGTCTTGCTCTTTCCTACGTTCGAACCGGGACTATGGTAGTAACATGTTCCTCGTTGAGTAGTCGATTTCATACTTGGCTATTCGGACTTGACATAGATCTCTAAACCCGTGGAAGAATCTTCTGGCTTCGTTTCCATCCCTGTAAATTCACTATGACCTGCTCCATCCAATTCTTTAGATCTAGCAGATCCATTCAAAGTATCATTTTAGACCCGAAGCAAGAGAATAATAATGTCCTAAACAAGGTAGAGTAGCGGTAAGGCAATAGGAAGAATGGCCCACGGATGCGTGCTTGTATAAAACAAAGACAGAAGTATTGATCTTAGCAGAGTGGCAAAGGTCAGATGGTAAGATACTTTGAGCTAAGATTTGTACTGCTTAGTATAGGGTTAACTCCCCCTAACTTATGGTAACAAAGTGACGCTAGACAAACAGCGTTGATTTCAGATCCTCCCTGGTTTAGTATGACCTCCTCTTAGCTGGGGTCTGTATGCCCCTATATACTCTCTATCCTCCTCCTCCGCCGCCACCACAACCACCGCCTCCTCCTCCTCCCCCTCCGCATCCACCTCCTCCACCTCCACCTCCTCCACAAGCAGCTCCTGATCCACCAGCACAGCCAACGGCACCGGCACCACCGCATGAGCCAGCTGCCACGCCACCGCCACATGTCCCAGAGCAACAGTTGCCCACCGCACCGGCGCTGACATTCATGCAGCTCGGGTTGCAGGCATAAGAGTTCGAGCTAATACCCGGGTCACACATATATGGACCATAATAAGGTATCATGACGGGATAGCCCCAAACATACGGCGCATAGTAATACGGCTCGTAGCCACCATCCCTGCTCTTCCTCGCATCAGGCCGAGTACGACCGCGCTTCTCAGCGCGCCGAATCGCTTTCTCATAGTTCTGATGCAGACGGATGCGCTGGAGTTGTCCAATACGAGGATCCTGAGCCGCCAGGCTGGACGGACGTACCGCATTGTGCGCAGAGATATGCGGGTTCTTGTCCGGGTCGGAGGAGATATCCTCGCGGTCGTGGAGGGTATCTGCGTTTTCGCGGGCGCGCGAGGCAGAGCCGACGTTGAAGATTCGGTCGTATAGATCTGGTGCGCGGGTGGCTTCGCAGTACCAGCAGGTGCATTCGCTGTAGATTGCGCCGTCTGTGGCGCGGCGGTACATCTTGCTTGTCCATTCGAAGGCTTCGGAGAGCTTGTTCTCGTCGACTTTGTCGTCGTGATCGAGGAAAATGCGAATTCCGTTTGATATCACCCGAGTGCTGTATTTGTAGTATCGTCGTGGTTGGAGCTGGTGCGTGTGCCAGGCGAGATCGACGTCCAATGTGGGAACGGCCATTTTCGACGGGTTGTCAAGCATGATTTGGAAGAAGACGTGGTACTTCTTGATCAGGCGGTCTGCAGTTTCCATAACCGTGGGCGAGTGCAACCAGTCAATGTTGTCCATCTTCTGGACAAAGGTTCCCTGACGGATAACAGCGCCGACCAGATCGAGCGCGAAGGGGCTGAAATTCTCCCAGTAATGCGACATCATGCGCCGGAAGTGTACTTTCTCGCCGGGCCGCACCATGGAACTATTCAGGAACATACCCCGGTGCGCTTTGCTAATTGCCTTCCGGTCCCGTAGCTTCATTTCAAGCTGCTTGCGAAGTGCATCGATATCCTTGCACCGATCCAGTCGGGGGTCGGTGAACGCAAGCAGCTCGCTTCCTAATGTTGCCATCAGCAGAGATGGGAATAGCATGTATGTATGGAGTAGCAGAGTTCTGCCTTTGGATGGCCCTTCCGGAACGCCGTTGATATTGTAAAGGGACCCTGGCATGGGCAGCTTGTCCTGCAGCAGTTCGACCAGGTCGCTACGGAATTTTGCGACTCTGAGGCGGTCATGGTTGATAAGGCACCTGCAGTGTTTGCAGGTAGTCGCGAAGGACCGGTCGGCGAAACCAGTACTTTCCTTGAAGGCTTCTTTCACCGACTCCCCGATGCCCCCTTCGGTCCAGAGGATCGTGTTGATCTGTGTGCAGCGTGGACATTCAAGATCCTTGCCGGGTGGGTCATGGAGATTGTCCCAGTTCAATTTGAGTCGTTGTTCAAAAAGGCCTTTTGTTTTGTCGGGCACGGTGTATTCCAAGGTACGATCGTTGATACAGGCATCCACGGCAGAAAAGGGGAATCCGGTTCTGTAAGTGCTCATCTTGCCAGATCGGATGCAATCTTCGAGGAAGTCTCTCGGATTGAGCATATGAGAGTGCCATACCATCAAGATATCTGACAACATATTGTTAGTTACGCAGCTGAGAATAGAGAGACACTCCGAAAACAAACTTACCAAGTGGGGGCATGTTCTCTGCTGTCCACAGAACCATGGTTTCACACTCAATGATCTTTTCATAAGTTTGCGAAACCAAGTCGTCCATGGTGGCAACAGATCGGGACATTGGGAGGCACGCGGACCACCATTTCTGATACCGATCAACGGCACGAGCCGTGTACACGGCCCAGCGCTTCTCGCGAATGCGAACACGAGCCTCGTCGAGCGAGTCGGGGTGCTTCTCGGCCTCGGAATCAAAGAGACCAAAGAGACCGTCACTATTTGAGACAACGTCCCGCAAATCCGCGAGCACGGCGAGGAACTTGAGATGCGCGACAACCTGGTCGCGAGTAACGGTTCGAGTAGTCTCACTGCCTGGAACCTCTTTGAGGTTTAGCCGAGGCAGTTGAATTTGAACCTCTGGTTGATTGTATGAGGGCGGACGCTCTGGGCTGTCCTTGGAGGCTTCGTCAGCCCCTTCGACACCATTAGCGGCATCCTTGAGGGGGGCGCTCTTGGACTTTTCGTCCTCGATGGACCCCATGATTGTGGTTCACAGAGGAAAAGTGGATATTGAGAAAGACTGTCACACGAGAATGTTGTAGTATATTCGTGAGTATTAGGCAGGTATGATTGAGTTAGTTGACCCTGGAGAACTCCTGGGGCCCCAGAAGGATCTTTATATGCCACCGATTGAGGGGGGCTAACGTCGGCCGGGTAAGCAGCAGAAATGGCCCCAACGCCCGAATGAAACCAAGAAACTCTGGCTCTGTGAGATCACCATATGCTCGTACCAGTGGGCGTGGACTCGGAGATAATTAGATACCATGATAACAACGCCCCGACGGGGGGTGCCCAGGACCAATAACTGTCTCCAACATCTCTTCAGGGTCCAGGCAGTGCCTCAACAGTAGCAAACAACCGACACTAGAAGCCCACTAGAAAGTCCGCCTAGCTAAGCCTTGCGGGACAACAGGTCAAGCTTCGCAAGCAGATCGAATGAACAATTGCACTGGCCATTTGCCATGACTTGTGGGGGGCGCAGGACCGCCCAGCGCCCGAAGGATCCCCGCAGTCGACAACATACCACGGATCCGAGCACGAGAGCGAGGGTCATCTGGAAGAGGAATCACGTAGCGGCGGTGGCTTCCGGATCGAACCAAGGCCTATCAAACATGAAAGAGCTCTTGACAATTTGGACACGGTATCGAGATGTCGGGCGCAACGTGGCCCACTTCGTGATATTTGTTTGGTTGCTTTGGCCGTTTTGCGGTTGCACTGCCTCGGTTTGAGCAGCTTAGCGATGTTCTGTATAGCCCCCGATTGCGACCTTCGGACATGATTGGTCCGATGGGCTACATGACATCATCGTATGGGATCGGGAAACGTGGCAATTGTGGTACAACTGAAAATTATTATTGTTGGTATGAATTAAGGATCTTATGCAAGGTCAATCGTTGTTCAAGCATCAAGATGAAAAAGAATAGACTGGAAGAGGACCAGGCGATAGTATTTTCAGTCTCCGTTGCAGACATGTCGTATCATTTTCCTAGACAAAAGATAGTATCTATTTGTGATATGATCGAGACAGTATATGAAACCATGGTCGAACTCGAACCAGCGGGGGTGGTTGTTAAAAATTAGGGAATGCGCTTTCATCTAGGTCTGTCTCTTCGATTGTTTAATCCGTCAAGTCCAAGAATAAGCATTTTCTTCGTAACAGGTCTTCCAACATCAAAGTGCCAAGGTAATGTGAAAGAAAAATATCGTTTTGAGAAGACGCATCGTACCTCTATGTGGAGGGGTCCTAAATGTCTTAGATAGCTCTTGATCTTTATCAAAACGTTAAAATCACTTGATCAAACAAGCTACTTCCTACTAGAAACTCCCCCAACGTTGACCAAGCTCCTATTCTGAGCATCGCCGAACATGCCGTCAGCCAAACACGAGCCAATTGAGACTGGCCTCCAGGAGCATCATGCCTGGCAGAAAATCGGTGCGACTACCGACCAGGAGAAGAATGCTGTCCTAACTATCATCTACGAGATCTTCGCCCTTGTGGTGAGCCACATTCAGAAGCCTGGGCCGACCGAAGACAGAAGTGTTGATGTTGATGGTGCGATACAGTACATGGTAGCCTCCAAACACCACCGCGACAGTTTGCGTGCTGCCATTGTCGTTTCTATTTCTTCGCCCGGTTGCCTGTAAACGTGCAGGTCTCTAGGAAAATCGCACTGAAACAAGAGATGTATCGGCTCTTGGAACGATATATCGATCTGTTGAAGAAAACCTACTCACAGTACGGCCTTAGCCAACCAATTCTCCTTCGAATGGCGAATTCGACTATCAAAGAGCCACGGTCATTCCTAATGCTGATATCCAGGTGATTTGAGCAGATCAAACCAAGCTGCCGCTTCCATTCCGGTTCAGCGACATCCTACCTAATCAGGTGAACGGCATGGATCGCTCAGCCGAAGGAGACTGGATCAATGGGTCAGCCATATCATCCTCTCAATTTACCCTTTTACGGCGACACCTCATGGACGAAGGTGTCTTGGAGGAGGGAGATACTATTTGGTGGTGTCCTTTGCCATTGGATAAGCTGAACCTCAGGAAGCTTGAGAGCCCGCAATCCAATGAATCTCGCCGGATCGTTTCAACATTACCTCCACCATCGACCGTACCAGGGCTAAGAATTTCCCTCATCTTCGGTGTACCTCTCCTGAGTTCTTGAAGGGTGAATCGCCGCTGACACGACCTAGCTTTACAATCATCATCCGCTCGGGCGCGGAGAATGACATGAAACAGCTCCCCTCTAGTAGACAGCCAGATCTGCTTCGCCCTGAGGCTCCTGTCTACGTTCCTAGCCAAGGCTCTGAAGATCTATCCAGGACAGGGCCCACGTACCGTTTTGTTAGACGTGGGGGTCGCCTCGCCGGGTCGACGCAACAAGGTAATCAATCTACGAACGCAAGCAGAAGTAGTTCCAAACGGCGCTTTCCTGATGACTTGAATCATGGAGAGAATATAGTCGGAGGACAAGGTGGTCCTGGGCCTCAACAAGTAGCTCGTGCCAACATTCGCTATCCTCCATACGGGAATCCCACTTCCCGCACTCGTGATTACAACCCATTCTCTCCAGAGGGTCATAGAGCGAAAAGATAGAAGCTTGCAATGGAAAGTCCCTTGCCAAGATCCGACTCTGAATCGGACATCAGCCTGCACGATCTGAGTATAGAGAGTCGCTGGTATCCTCGGTATTTTTCAAAGGCCGGTAGTGCACGGTCTAGCGGTCTTGTTGCTGTCTTGAATCTCTTGATACACACTTGCTTTATTTGAGTCCCACTTTCGATCATGCCAATGCAAAGGTACAGAACAGATTTTAAGCGAGGAAGCATTCTCGAAATCCGAAAGCGGTTCGATTCGCCACTAGTCAACGCCAACCACCATCACCTTCCACTGTGGATCATCGGTGTATATTGTATTTGTACATAGATCGCCCTCTATACCACCGTCATAGTGAAATTGCATCGGCGAACTGAACCTGCGGGTATGAGTGATACATAGCTGGAGCTCGAGACTTCAGAGACTGTCATTTCACCACCAAATTAGCTTTTCGTTAAATTGGCACTACGGAGGGATTCCCGAATGTTGTTTGGTCGACCGGGGAGTTTGAGGACAAGTCCGGCGGTGTTGCTGCCTGATTTTGCCTGAACATTACATCAGTGTCTCGTCCAGTGGACTTCTGACCATGTCACGTGAGAACCCCCGCGCTGAGTCATTCTCGCTGGGTGCAACAGTGCAGGTCTGCATTCCACGGCCTGTGCGGAGAACGAAAAGATCAATCTCCGCCTGAAAAAAGTGACTGCGCATTAGGATCGCTGCCGGAACAACCTCTCCGTGTTGTCTGTACATCCTTCGACGAGCAATTCTCCCCGCCGCTCCTCGGAATTCTAGGCCCCGCTTGCAGCAACGTCATCAGCCTGGCGTCTTTTGGGCGAACAAGCGGACTCGGAGGGTCGCAGACCCAGGCTCCGGATTCCATTGCGAAAATTGATAATGATTCAGCAGCCACGAGTCCCGTAATGGCGGGTGTCAATCATACGACTGCCTCTATGGCCGCTGCCGATGGCGTGCCCGGTCGCAAGCGCAATATGACTATTGCGGGGATGGATAGTTCACCGGGCAGTATCGACGACGCGGAGGATAACGACCGCGATGACAAGAGGCGCCAACCTGTAAAGCGCGCCTGTAACGAATGTCGTCAGCAAAAGGTACGTACACCTGCTAGGTTCTATGCGGCCCAGCTAGGTGGTGGTGTTTGCTCGGACCAAGTCGCGCAAAACCATGCATATTGCTAAGTCGGATGATTTTGTATAGCTTCGATGCGATGTCATTCAAGACCCTTGGACCGACTGTTCCAGATGTCGTCGACTCAAACTCGACTGTAAGATCGAGTCCAACTTCAAGAGAGTTGGGAAGCGCAGTCGCAACGCGGAAATGGAACGAGAGATTGTCCAGCTTCGGAAGCAAATTGCTTCAGCAAATTCCGGCCCAGGCACCTACCCGCAACAGCCACCGCTAGCTGCAGGCCAAGTGACGCCCAAGCAGGAATCAAATCAGGTCAGCCCCGCAGGTGTTTACCAAACGCCTTCGGCCATGTCGGCAGATCAGTACATGGGCTCGCAGGAAGCGGTCGCGTCACTACTCGATTTGCGTTCGGGATTTGATGGTTCCAACTACATGCGGAACGGCAATCATCAATTTAAACGCATTGAAGATGTGATGGTAGTTCCGGAGAAGGTAACAGAACTGTTTAATCTGTAAGTTTCAGCACCGTCGGTGATCTTCATGATTAACAGGACTTTTTGGTTCTAACGACGACAGGTTCTTCACGTATTACCATCCATTTCTTCCATTCCTCAACCGCACGCAGACCCCAGACGACTACTATACCACCTCGCCTCTACTTTTCTGGACAATCATCAGCGTCGGAGCTAGACGCTACCAAAGCGATTCGGGCCTGTTGACTTCTCTCGCAGGGCCCGTCACGCGCCTTGTGTGGAGCACATTGGCAGATATTCCCCAAAGCTACCACGTTGTAAAGGCGCTCTGCCTGCTCTGCTCATGGCCATTCCCAACCAGCAGTACCTCTACGGACCCAACATTTATGCTCTGTGGTATGATGATCCAGGTCGCAATGCAGCTTGGTCTTCATCGCCCGTCGCACAGCCAAGACTTTAGCAAATTCCGCGTGGAGCTTATTGAAGAGGAACTAAGGGATAAGGTGCAAACCTGGGCTATTTGCAATATTGTTGCGCAGCGGTATGATTATACTTGCGGTCTAACCACGCTCGAGTGCCAAACTAATCCTTCCTCTCTCTTAGTGTATCAACTGGTTATGGCCAGCCCCCCTCTACACTCTACGACTGGACATTGTCGAGTGACTCCTTGGACCCCAACTTCAAGTTACCTGCAGACATTAGGCCTAGGCTGGAGGTTGAGAAATTCTGTGACAAAATCACCAGAGCTCTTTACAGCAATCGACGAGACCCCGTCGGGCTTACCACGGACCAAGAAAGACATACAATGATTTCTTTCCTTTCGCGTGACTTCGACGAGCTCGAGGAACAGCTGAAGGCGCAAAATGATTGTAAATCCACCATCTTCTCCCCCGCGTTGAATCCTCTACTAACAGCGAGCTTAGCCATAACTAACCTGTATTTGCGTGCCGCAAACCTTCACTTGCACCTTTCTGCATTTTTCGATGAACCTTCAGCGAAAGACTACCGCGAACGTCTTCTCTCATTATATGTCGCAACTACAACCTTCCTCGAGGTTGTCATGAATCTTGAAACGGACGTCGGGCCCGTGCTGTCCTATACCCCCTATTACATTTACCAGGTGATGGTTGCAGCTGGCTGTACTCTTCTCAAGCTGAGCAAGAGTTTCTTCTCATCCCATATTGATATGGAGTACACGAAAAATCTGTTCAACCGTACCATCTGGGCCATCCGTGGCGTGTCGGTCTCCAGTAATGATTTACCTGAACGTCTCGCCGAAGTACTTGCCCAGATGTGGAGGCTTGGAGGTGGAACACAGCGATCGACTGGAAATAACACCGACGTGGATGACTCTTTGAGGTTGAAGGTTCGCTGTCGAATGAGCATGTCTCTGCTTTTCGACTCGGTATGGCGATGGCGAGAGGATACGCGGACTAAAGGTCGAAACATTGAAGGTAAGACAATCTTTTTTTCGGTCTTCCAAAATGGTTATACTAACAGCTCCTTCCAGCATATCTCAAAAACCCCACCAACCCCGATTCTGCAGCAGATTCATCTGCCGCGTCCTCCGTTGGCCTGCCACGCACCCAGTCATCCACGCCTGGAATTTCTGGTAGTGACCCAAGTCTTGCACCTGCACCTATGCTGACGCAACCTAGCCTTGGAGTACAAGCTCCAGGCAGTAGCGTCACCGGACTCCCGAGCGGATTCATGGAGCCGAACTACGAGGTATTCGACCCGCTGAACTGGCTGCTCGACGGCCTGGTAGACCTGCCGTACTCATACTCTACGATGGGCGGCATGGAACCCCAGGGCATTGCATAGAGGCATGTGCCCTCAAATAGTTCCCTCTACAACTTTCTGTTGGCGTTTTATGTTGGTTTTATGCGGGCGTATATTATGGACGCCTCTGTTTGTATCACTATACCACACGGATTCAATCGCTGATACTTTTTTGGGAGTTTTCAATCTCTTTGTCAATTTTTTTGAGGTGTGGGCCTTGCCCATGTCGTTTGATTTATTTTACGAGTCTCATTGTACGACATTCTACCTGATGTGTGATGCATGTGTGCTCAATGACTGAGCGTTTTCTCTCTATTGTCTTTTGTGTCGACTGGAGGTACGAGCCGCATAAACGAGTTGATTCCCATAGCCTGTCGGAGGAAGACTAGGTGCGTAGCAATTTTGCCTATAAACAAAGGTCTCCTCAACTTTCCTCTTTCCGAGATCTTCAATGCATGCTAGATTATATTCAAATATCTAGATATCTAACGAGGGTATCACGGTCTTCAAAATCAGACACATGCAAAACAAAAACTACATGACAATGCATTTATTTCGACGTTTCCGGCTCCGTTCCCGGATAGTATGTTCGTTCCAATCCTCAATACGCCTCCGCCACTCCTCATTCGCCGGCGGCGGCAAGCTATTCGGCTCCGTTGATACGCGCCGGCGGAATGACCTCTGCCTTGCAAGGATCTGCACCTCTTCGTCTTCATCGGTGAGATCCAAGGCGTTGCCAGATGGTTGTGGTATGTGCAGCAGATTGGGGGAAGACACGGAGTAGGAGAGGTAGTCTTCGCCGAGGAGGGTTGCGCCTAGTGTGGCTTGTCCTTGGGGAGATGAATGTTCGGCTGGGTGGAGGGCTAGGGTTGGGAGAGGTTGGAGTGAGCGGAGGTGGTTGGTAGCGACTGGGAGATTGGGTATGGGTGCGTTTCTCATGTCGGAGCGAGAAGGCCAGGCATGATTGTTCTGGACTGCTGGGTTGTGGTTGGGGAGATGTTGATGTGGTATGTGAGGTACTTGCGGTATGTCGGGATGGACTCGCTCCAGACCAGGGGTTTCATCGGCAGCTGTAGGGGACTCTCTTCGACCTCTCCCAGAACGTCTATTGCTGGTAATTGAACCGAGTCTTTGTAAGAAAGCAGATTGTGCTCTAGAACGATCCGATGGAGTTGATCGCGCCACTCGGGCAGTTTGTGCTCGCTGGACGGGTTGAACAGGGGCATCGGGATTCTGGGCAGTTGGAGACCTGCTTGGAAGCAGTGTAACCTGCAGATCGTCGGGCAGAGGTTGATCGGCCTCGCGCGTATACGGCGGTGGCGGGGGCACCCAGTTGTCTGCGTCGCTCTCATGTGGGATTTGGCGACGACCGGACGTGTTTCGATATCGTGGATCGTAACGTCCTCGCGTGGATGCCGCAGCTGTAGCAGCCCGGTGAAGGGTGTCTTGCGATCGAGGCTGGGTGTTATCATAAGGGATATCGACCACCTCGCCACGGGTCGGCCCGTCAGGAGATGTTACAACGGCAGAAGTGCTTCGATGAAGGTGTGAGAGCGCATGTTGACTTGCAGCCCGACGAGTTTCTCGAGCATGTGCCCGTGATGGGCGATGAACAGGGCCCGTCAAGGTCGTCGGGTCCGTATCTCCACGCTGTAAACGAGTGCGTCGCCTCTCCAGCTCGACTTCGGTGTCTAGTGAAGAGTCCGGCTCCGTGAGCATCGTTGGGGCAGTTTCTCCCACTTCGATATCCAACTCTGTCTCCTCGCCGTTCGTAGTTGATCTCTCAAAGTCCAGGACCAGTATCCTCCCACCGTCCACGGGAATATCTTCTTCACCGAGTACTTGTGGGCGTACCCCACCAGGCGCCACTGCAACAAGTCGACGACGTGGCTGGCTTGACGCAGTACATCGTACCCAGCGAGCAGATGTGATTCCATGCATATCAGTGATCCGTCGGCCACGAATCAGCGCCTTCTTGGGTTGCTGAACTATCTTCTCCAGCTGAGCCCGGTTGTCACGAGGAACCAACTGCCCCTCGCTATGATGATTTCCACAAAAATGGGAGTCGTTGGCATCTTGTCCTTCGGGGATTGGTGGGGTCATGTCAAGACGAGCAGGCACTCCATAAATCCATATTTCGGACTCTTGAAATCCTAGAGCAACGAGTTCTCCCGCACTATCCGTGGATGGGAGCATAACGGGCAGTGTTTCTCGCAATTCATCAGCCAGAAAGGGACTAGCAAAATATACACCGCCGGTATTGAAGTTATTGAGTCTGATTGCCCGGAAAGCTGCCAGGGCGTTGTCGTAGCCAATTATCCAGCTATCGTCCGCTTCTTCGTGACCATTCATCAGGCAAGCATAAGTACACTCTGGAGTGGTCTCTGGAAAAAGAATCTGCGTTGTCCACATGCGCATTTGAAGCTCCTGTGGCAATGCGTCTATGCCAATGTCCGTATAGAAGGGAGCTGTGATCGTGACTATGCCACCTGGTTCATTGTCCGTTGCCGATCCAAGCAACATAGTACCATCCCGGGAGAAAGAAAGCGCATCAACACGAGGGCAACGCGCAGCTCGGCGTTCTATCGACAGAACCTCTTCTCCCACGGCATACACCTCGATGCAATCCTCAAAGGACAAAGCCAGGACGCTTCCCATAGGTGAGAAGGTCAAGTCTCTGGGGGCATCATTCAAGGTGATCGTTTGAAAATGCTTGACTTCATCATTCAACAGTCGATAGATATTGACCCTGTGCGTAGAGGATAGAACGGCAAGAAGGGAGCCATCATCTTGAATAGTCGCCCCCAAGGGTCGCCGGCGAGTCTGCAATTCGTATTTTACAGCTACCGGTTCTGCGGCCACATCTAGCACGACGATGCGAGACGAGCTAATACATAGGACCAGTTCACCATGAGCCGAGAACGAAAATCGAAACACTTCGCCCTGGGGAAACGCGGTGGATGAGCTCATAGAACTGGATATCAATCGAACGAGGGTCCGACGAGGCCGTAGAAAGACGTCAAAGGCATTGCGTCTGATTTCCTCCAGAAATTGGCGTTTGAGGTCTGCCAGACAGTCGGTCTCGCTTGGCGCGGGGGTTGCCCCTCTTGTCCATGTGAACGAGGGACATTGCGATAAATGGTAGGCATACAAAGACGGAGAGTCGGATATCCGCCTCCATTGTCGGTTGAGCAACACCAGAGATGCAAAGACGTTGGCATCGGCGACATAGAGAATGCTACGCGGGGACGTGTTAGGCACGATGAATGCCACATGGCCTTGTGGAATTTGCGGGGAGGGCACACTGTCCGATCCAGTGGAAAGCCTCACTTACCGTTCAATTACATTTGGAGGCAGCCGATCAAAGGCGCCCGTATCTCGAGGAATCGAGACCTCCTCCTCCATGATCACCAACGGTTCCCGACATGCGGAATTAGGCGCTGGCAGGCCCAAGTTGGAGATGCCTTGGAGAGAGTGGCTGTGCTCCCAACCTCCTTCCTCCACCTCATAACGCCCGTCGCGTCGATCGCCCGAGTTGCCATAAATAACTTAGCTGGGCCAGGCACGTGGTGCTGAGTCAGCGTTCCCCGCATTCAGCTTAGTCTCGTTTTTTTTTTCGTTTCCGAGGGACGCAGGCAGGACAGTTGGAGAGAGCCAGAGCGGAGCAGTTCAACGGGTTCCATCTCCTCCTTCCAACTTCTCAATCTCCAAAACATCCTCCCCCGTCAACTGCCACAGATCGCGTGAGAATGTGGACTCTACAGAGCGCACCATGAACTATAATGCGCCCTGACCCACGGTTGTGCTCACGTCCCTTGTTCGCGCTCTATGCTCGTCGCATTCGGCCGGGCTGTACCCCTCATTTTGCCCAACTGAGATCGGCCGACTCCGAAAAGTCCCCGGGATCTTTTCCCCAGACCGTTTCCCACGTCCATTCAATTCCACCCTCCTGTCGGCATCTCGTTTTCGGGTCTGCGCATCATGGCGCCTGCAACACTGCAAGTCAATCCCACTTCGAAGCTGCCGTCGCCCGGGTTCAACGCCGGCGCACGACCCTACCGATCGCACAAGGTCCGCGCCTGTGACCTATGTCGCAAGCGCAAGTCCCGATGCACAGTCGATATCCCGGGCCAGTCCTGCCTCCTATGTCGCGTACAGGGGGCAGATTGTCACTATCAAGAGGAGCCCAACCCGGACTCCTCGGTGTTGAGCACAACGGAGACCAAGCCGTGGTCGGGAGCGCCGCCGGCTGAACCCATGCCAGGACAGAAGCGCAAGCGCAGCCCTGAAAGACTGCCTCCCTCGCGTCAGTCAACCAATGGACCTAGTCCGCAGGGAACGACTTCCTCAGGTCGCCGTGGAAGTGATGCGCGGCGGAAAGATGACGACCCGCACAATGAGTCAGTCCTCATTGTCGGGCCCATGGTTGCGGAGGATGCGCAGGTTATTGAGCAACACATGCCCCCTGAGCGGTCTAGTCTGTCTGAAGAGCCCAATAGCCACCCATACAACATCTACTCGAGCGACCCGCGGAAGCCTGTCCTCTATACCACCATCTCGCGGCGGAGGAAGGGTATGCGCCGGGGAGTTCCGCCTGGTGAAAATCAGAGGGAGATTCTGGAGCAGATTCTCGGACCCTTCAAACATGATCTTGTCAGACTGTAAGGACCACGATGACCGATATTGTGATGTTTTCCTGCGGGCTAATCACGTTTTCTTTTCATAGCTTCATCGACCGGTTCAATGTCGCATTCCCGATTTTCGACGGCGAACAGTTCTGGGAGTCCTATATCACAGAAGGACTTGAAGATCCCCCAGCTTCACTGATCTGCCAAGTATATTCGATGTCCCTCGTGTATTGGAAGCATACCCAGAAGCTCTCATGCCATCCTAAGCCAGACGTTCGATATGCGGTCAACATGACGGTGGCTGCTTTACACGAGGAATTTTCTGCACCTGGGCTGTCCACCATTAGTGCCGCACTGATTGACTTGACGGGAAGACCTATCTTCTCCATGACCGGCAACGCCATCAGCTGTGGACGTATGTTGTCTTTGGCCAACTGTCTTGGCTTGAACCGCGACCCGAGCCATTGGAAACTTTCACAACAAGAAAAGGATCAGCGCGTGCGTCTCTGGTGGGGTGTCGTGATTCATGATCGCTGGTAGGCCACTCTGCGCAACCATTTACCACCAATGATGATCTTCTAATGCGTTTCACAGGGGAAGCTTTGGTCACGGTGTACCGCCACAAATCGCCAAAACGCAGTACGACGTACCCTTGCCTAGTGTCGATAGCCTTGTTCCTCCCAATCTTCGCACCACCGAGCGTGTGAGAGCCGCCCACTGCCACATCTTCTTGTGCAAGTTGACCGAGATTCTTGGCGAGCTATTGCCCTTGGTCTATGGCTTGCAGGCCAAACCAGCCCGAGAAAGCTCCAAGAAGATTAGACAAATTCGGACGGATCTAGATATGTGGGAGGACTCTCTTCCTGACTGGTTGAGATCACCGGTCAATAACCGCGGAGAGCAACTATCTGCTTCGAGCAGCTTGCAACTTGCCTTTTTGGCAGTCAAGATGCTTGTCAGCCGAGTGGAATTGAATGTATGGCTTTCTTTCCACCAGAACTATACTCCGAAACATTTACTCACTCGTGGACTTTAGGAGGTCAACAATGCAGAGACCGACAACCCCGAGGCTCGTCGCTATTTCCAAACCGAATGCCGCAAGTCCGCAGAAGACATCGTGCGCTTCATCACCTCGCTGCGTAAAGATAATTTTAAAGAATTCTGGCTACCATGTATGTCCTCATGGATTCCCCATCTCATCTTGTGTAACCACCTCTGACAATTTCCAAAGACAGCGCCTTCCACTTGACATCCACAGCCACCCTCCTGGTCCGCTGCGCACTCGAAACAAACGACACTGAAGTAGCGCGGTCCTGTCTCACCAACGTCGAAACCCTACGCAACGTGCTCCGTCGCGTCCGCGAAGAAGAAGACTGGGATGTAGCGGACATGTGCCTGGACCACTGCGAACGAATCATGCACCGACTGCCTGGGACAGGTGCTACCATCGATCAGCCGCTTACTGTGGCGGCAATGGCTGATACCGGGCTGGTCAACCCTGCTGCGATTTCGCTGCCCGAGACACAAACCAATAATGATATTGTCGATGACATGATGTCTATTTCGAATACGTTCGGTACAATGGATGGATTCCCATTCGATATGACGGGCATCTGGGATGTCTCTGTGTTCCAGGACGTCAATCTGCATGAGGGATAAGAGAAAGTTGTATCTGACAATTTCTCTTTCTGTTGGGTTGTTGATACTTCTTTTCTATTTATAGGTTTTTGGTTTATAAGGGCAGGCAGGGCGTGTACTTTAGATTGGCATCTTACTTGCAGTGTATATACCCAAAAGGTCCACATTCAACTTGGACCGTGCAAATACAGAAGAATATCAGTCTATCAGACTCAAGTTTCTTTTCATATTAAAGCATCTGACCAAATTTTGTACATGGAGAATAAAGAAACAATGAGAAATCGGGACCCCCGAAGCGCTATTTTACAATCGTCTCAAAGATGAAGGAATGCTTTGAACGAACTCCCAAGGAAACCATCTAATGACCTGCCCCTTGCCCGCAAATGACAAAAACAAACCCCCAAAGATGATGAGTTGGGAGAGTGAAATATGAAGACGGAAGATTCACACGGAGGAAGTCTGCCGCAGGTATTGAAGGAGCGAGTCGCTTACTCCTTGTTGGAACCCATACCGAACATACCGGTGAAGGAGCCCTTCATGCTGTTCATCTGCTCCTGGCGAGCCTTCTCCTCTTCGGCAGCCATCTCGGCCAGCCACTTCTCGCCGTTCTCACGGATCTCACGATCGATCATCTCGTAGTTCTTCTGACCACGCTCGCGAATCTGATCCCAGAGCATCTTGCCCTGAGCAAGACCCTCCGCGGGCGATTGCTCGCCGTCCAGGGTGCGGGTCGACTTCAGACCGAGAGCAGAGGCAAGGCTGCCCATGCCAATGGAGGGCTTCTTCTTCTGCTCCTCGGCGAGCTGTTTCTCGAAGCGCTCACGCATGGCCTTCTCACGCTTGGAGAATTCCACGGGGATGTTAGTACCCTCGAAGGACTTGAGCACGGTGCGGACATCCTCCACGCCCATACCAGCAAGGTACTCCAAGAAGGGAATCAGGGCAACCAGGGTCTTGTCCTTGGCATCACCGGTCCACTTGTCCAAAATGATGGAGTTCTCGGGCTGCAGGCGGGCGTGCTCTTCCTTGGTGTCAATCAGAATGACCTTAGACAGGTCACGGTTCAGATAAGACAGATCCTAAATGGAGATGAAAGGTCAGACGACGGCAATTGAGAGAATGGTGCGCCAAAAGATCATACCTTAATGTACTCGCCATCCTTGTAGCGGGTAGCTTCACGGAACAGAGGCCAGCGGATGATGCGGTAAGGATCGAGTTTCCGGAGAACCTGGTCGGCCATCATACTGGGGACAGTGGTGAACAGAACGAGCTCATAGTACTGGTTGAGGTAGCGAAGGAAGTAGTCAACGCCAGGGCGCTTCGCAACACGCCATCCGTGCTCACGGTTCCACTCGCTGTGAACCAGCAGATCCTCCAAGGACAGAACCAGGGTGTAGGGCTGGCGCAGGTTAGGGTCCTCGTCGGGGAGCAGCTTAGGGAAAGCCGGGTCCTTGTAGTAGCTGGTCAAGTCGCCCGTACGAGCCTTGATACGACCCCACCAAAGGCCAGGGCTCCAGCCGGATGGTGTCTCTGTGTGAGCGCGCTCTTCCTCCTCGGTCTCCCAGTTGCGGCCCAGATAACCCATACCGGCAATACCAGCAGCCAGCATCACGGCGTACATGATGTTGGCCATGCGGGCCTTGCGGCGGTCGAGAGAGGTCTCGTATCCGCTCTTGGGAATGTCACCGCCACCTCGGCCACTTCCATCCTCGGTGTAGTCTTCCGTTCGTGTGTGATCCTCTGTGATGTTCAGAGGTCCCTTCCTCTGGCGAGCTTCGAGCTCTGCGGCCAACGTCGACGGGATACCCTGGGTCAGGTCGGGGAGGGGCTTTTGAGGAATCTGCTCCGCTTCGGGCTACACGAATGACAGATCAGAACGATGGGTTCTTCCATTTCAAGGTGGACAAGTCAGATGAATAGCTTACAGTAATGGGAGACTCGGGTGCTTCTGTCTCGGGCTTGGCCTGTGTCTCGGGTTCTGGTTGCTCTGTGGGAGTCTGTTTCTTTGCAGCCTTGGGCTTCTTGGGCTCGGGCTCCTTGGCTTGCAACGACTCCGGGAGTTTGTACGGAGCACTATCCTTGCCCTTTGCGTACCACCGGGGTCGCTGAGCGGACAGAGCAGACACCCGGACGGTCGAGGCCAGGACGTTGCGCCTAGCAAGAGGCAGCACGGCGCGGCTCAGCATGACGGGCGAATAGCAAGTATGAAATTAAAGATGGACAAGAAACAGTGCACTCATGCCCTTGCACTTAGCTTAGGGAGATCACGTCCTCGGCTTCGGGATGAGTTTCCCGTAGAAAAGTCGGCGCTGCGGTGAAATCGGGCGGTGTACAAAGACCAGCTCCGCAGTTCCTTTATATTTGGCGCTCTCGCTGCCAACACTGTTTTTTCTTCTTTTTCCTTCCCATGAAAGTTGCACCCAGACATTAATTTGACCCTGCACGCGCTTCTTTACGCATGTCGGGTTGTATTAGCTGGGGAGACCAAGGAAGTTTCTCTTCTGATTCCCACTTCCAAGAGCCGCAGCGAAGGCATCCTCTGATGCTGTAGCTCCGTACGTGGGTTACATTCCTTTTTACATCTGACTCTTGATTTTTGTCGAGATATATCTTATGTAGAGGCTATTTGTGTCTCTCTCGTTCAATCACCAATCTAAAGCCCTGTCGTGCCAGCCTTCAATCAATACCCATGATCCAATCTATGAAAGCTATGAACACCAAGTCCCATCATCCCTAGTCCCGTGCCGCGTACCGTTTGCTTATAGACTTTCCCCCTCGCCACCTCAACCTTGGAACCTTCCCCCTTCCTCAACATGCGGCTCAAAAAATCACAAAGGGCCGAGTTCTTCGAGGAAGAAGAAGTCGTCGCCGAAAAGCCCGCGCTCAGGCGACTTCCTTCGAAGCCCTTCCGATTCTTTGATTTACCCTCGGAGATTCGCGAGCGGATCTACCACTTTGCCTTGTTCACGCCGTCGCGGAAGAGCGCGCTGAAGAAGAATGGCACCGTCGGTGCTTCCGCAAAGAAAAGCAAAGCTTTCTCTCCAGCGACACAGCGCATCGCTTTATTTTTGACCTCGCGACGTATCCACGATGAGGCCAGTTACTACTTTTACTCGACGCAAATTTTCCGCCTCTTCCCCGTGCAGGACTTTGCGCGCATGCCGACCGTCCGTCAACTACCCCGTCGTCACCGCAGCTCCGTGACTACAATCGAGCTGATTCTTGGGAATAGCTGGACTGCCCCGCCGCGAACGTGGACAGTCAACCAGGGCTTGGGCCTACACGATATGGTCCTCACGCGCACACTGAAGGTGTTTATCGAATGCGATCCCTCGCAGCCGATCTTTGAGGGTTTCCGCGTCTCCAAGGAGTACTACACCGAGTTTGCGGGGCGACTTATGCGACAGGTTTTGGAACGACTGCCGGGCCTGGTCCAGGTCGAATTCGATGCTTACCCTTCGGTCCACAAGAATGGGTCTTTGATGACCCGGTTACTGCAGGAGACTCGAGATTTCCAGAAAATGGTTCTCTGGGGCCCAGAGAGAGGCTGGGTAGATGATGAGGATGATTATGATGATCCGAAAGAGGACCCGGCAGACGCGGTCATTGATGGCCTGCGCGCCTCTCATCCAGAGGTTGATGTTCTGACCAACTCATTGCATCTCGTGAGTTTGGGAACGGAGACTGTGGCTGCTTAGACTACATTGGTGTGATAGACGTGATCATGATTTCGGATACAGTACATCGCGCGGCGTTCTAGACTTGCTTTGGTGTTTAGATTACACATAGAATTTCACAGGCTTCTTTCTACCTCAAGACCATCCATCACTCGCCGGTAGGCGCAGTCGCATTTCTGACTGTCACGAGAGACTTCTCCAGGCTTTAGGCAGAAGAGCCAGTACAGTATGGTCCGAGTATGTCTGATAGCTAGTGTCGTACTACAGGCAGTGCCATGTGACAAGGCAAATGAAGACAAAAAGACGATGGTTCATAATTAGAGTGTTTTCATAGCTTTCATGCGCCTTCTAACCCTCTAGAGTTCCTCATCCACCTCCATGGAGGCACCGTTACCCCCGTCCTTAGCGGACGACTGCCGAGCAACAGATGCCTCCTTGTCGATCATCTGCCTCGACACGGCAACGATGTTATCCTCGATCAATTGCTGGCTCACGTCTTCGATGTCTGTGGAAAGAGGTTAGCATATGTTGATGCATAGTAGCTGCATTTCGGGGCCAATATCAGAGTTGACATACGCTTCTTAGGGTCAACCTTGCCCACATATCTCGTCTTCAGCTGCTCCTTGGTCAACTCGGTCTCTTCCTTCACCCGCTTTTCGTAGCCCTCGGCAAGGCTGACGAGCTGCTTCATCTGTTCCACGTTGTGCTTGCCCTCCTCGTGGAAGTCGTTCATCTGCAAGGCCTCCGTCCACACGTGCTTGTGCAGGTTCATCAGCATGTTCTCCTCCAGCCCCGTCTTCCGGTAGTTGATGGCAATGCTGTAGTAGTGGCGGTTGAGACCGTGAATAAGGGCCTGGATCGAGGGTTTGTTCAAGTGACCCAAGTTTGATGTTGTTTGACGGGGCTCCTGACCCATGACGACGGTCTGGGGTTGAATAAGACGGAAAGCATCGATAACGACCTTGCCCTTCACCGACTGAATGGGATCCACGACAACGGCGACGGCACGGGGGGTAAGCTGCTCGAAGGATTGTTGGGTGTTGATATCGACGGATGAAAGCCAGCAGCCGAAACCGGGATGAGAGTGATACCAGCCAACGACGGTTTCTGGCCTGTTCGAGAAGTTTATGTTAGTGCAGCTCTTTGATACTTGGGCAACAGGTGTATGGTGGTAAACCTACCGTCCGGTTTGTCGGAGCATCTCCATCATCTTAGTCTGGAACACAGGGTCCACGGCCTCGACACTGACACCAGTACCACTCTGAGGCATAGCGAATACATCCACAACCCGAACTGTATATTCATCGACAAACTCTCCCAGCATCAGGCCCATGACTTCCATCGGCACACCAGCACGGCCGTGTCGCAACATCTTCAACAAGGCCAGGGACGAAATGTGGACGGTCTCGGAGTTATCAATGAGGTTTGGAGTGTCCTGTATCAAAACATTGTTAGATATTGATATGATCGCTGATGCCATCTCCGGAGGATAGCTTATAAATGCAAAGCGTAGGAGCTCAAATGAAGAAAGACACATAGCGACACCGAGGCCGCCACCATATTGACTTACACCACCGGGGGCACCACCACCCATCCCAATGCCTTGGGCGGCCTGTAACATTCGGTTGATGCGGTCCATGATGACTGAGAGCAACTAAGCGGGTTGCAAGGAGAGAGAGATATGAGTGATTGATAGCTTCCCAAGTGGAAGCTTCAGCGAGGTTGGATGACTCAAACGACCAGAAAGAATCTAATCCGTCGGGAAACTTTTCGCAGGAATAAGCGAGAGCAATGCTATAGAAAGATGAATAATGGCTTGGGCAACCGTTCTAGAGAGCAGGGAAGTGGTCGCGAGGTGTTTGGTTGGTGATCCAGGCGGCTCCCGGAGCTTAACTGACGAAGGCGGTCTGGACTTCTGCCGGCCATGCTGCCTTCCTCTCGCCGCGACTGATTCTCACTTAAACCTCCCGTCTCTGCCTTCAGCGCAATGAGCATGACAATTTTCGCCTGTCGCTGTGTCTAGCTCCGTTGCCTAAAGCCTTCGGTAGTCTCGGATACTCCAGGTTGTCTGCCTTCCTGTGGCCTCAACTACAAAACCACCTCCCTCATTACTTCCTCTCTCCTACCGTCCTCCTGATTAAGATATCCACATACCTGCCCGCACTCTCATCTAGTCTCTCGTCAACCAACGCGCAAAATGGCGGCCGAGCCCGTTTCCAATGGCTCCGGTGCCAACAACAAGAAGGTCGCTTACTTCTACGACTCTGATGTGGGCAATTACGCCTATGTTTCCGGCCACCCGATGAAGCCTCATCGCATTCGCATGACCCACAGCTTGGTCATGAACTACGGCCTGTACAAGAAGATGGAGATCTACGTATGATTTCCCCTGATCTTTTATCGATCCCTGAACTAAACCTCTCATTGCTGACGCGCATATGTCTATAGCGTGCGAAGCCGGCTTCGAAGTACGAGATGACCCAGTTTCACACCGATGAATACATCGATTTCTTGTCAAAAGTGACACCGGACAACATGGATCAATTCTCAAAAGAACAAAGTCGTTACAATGTCGGTGACGACTGCCCAGTATTCGACGGTCTCTTCGAATTCTGCGGTATCAGTGCTGGTGGCAGTATGGAGGGCGCCGCCCGGTTGAACCGCGGAAAGTGCGACGTTGCTGTCAACTGGGCCGGTGGTCTTCATCACGCAAAGAAGAGCGAGGCCAGTGGTTTCTGCTACGTCAATGGTGAGAGATGATTATCTATTGACCTCCAAAAGAAATGCGGGCGCTGGCTAACCCTTTGGTCTCATCAGATATCGTCCTCGGCATCCTCGAGCTGCTCCGATTCAAGCAGCGCGTCCTCTACGTCGATATCGATGTTCACCATGGTGACGGTGTCGAAGAAGCTTTCTACACCACGGACCGTGTCATGACTGTCTCATTCCACAAGTACGGCGAGTACTTCCCCGGTACCGGTGAACTTCGCGATATTGGTGTCGGCTCGGGCAAGTACTACGCCGTCAATTTCCCTCTCCGCGACGGTATCAATGATGCGTCATATAAGAGCATCTTCGAGCCCGTGATCAAGAGCGTCATGGAGTGGTACCGTCCGGAGGCGGTCGTCCTCCAGTGTGGTGGTGACAGTTTGTCGGGCGACCGTCTTGGTTGCTTCAACCTCAGTATGCGCGGGCATGCTAACTGCGTGAACTTTATCAAGAGTTTCGACTTGCCGACTCTGATTCTCGGAGGTGGTGGTTACACCATGCGCAACGTCGCACGCACTTGGGCCTACGAGACTGGTATCTTGGTTGGGGAAAACCTTGAGTCTGAGCTGCCCTACAATGACTACTATGAGGTGAGACTCTTCTGAGCTAACATCGTTTCAGCTGGAACTCAACATACTGATAATCTTCACCAGTACTTCGCCCCTGATTACGAGCTTGATGTCCGTCCCTCGAACATGGATAATGCCAACACGAAGGATTATCTGGACAAGATTCGCAACCAGGTTGTGGAGAATCTCAAGCGCACAGCTTTTGCGCCGTCGGTTCAGATGACAGATGTCCCTCGCAACCCGATCCTTGATGGTATGGACGACGAGGCTGACGACGTTCTCGACGACCTGGACGAGGACGAGAACAAGGACAAGCGATTCACTCAGCGTCGCTTCGATCAGTATGTGGAGAAGCCCGGTGAACTGAGCGACAGCGAAGATGAGGAGGAGAATGCCGCCAATGGTGTTCGGCGTCAGCCCGGTGCTCTGCGTCGCCGAAACCAGACCAACTACAGGAACCTCGATGCCGCGGATTCTGGTCTTGATAGCGGCATGGCTACTCCGCTGGAAGCATCCTCGATCGCCGACAATGAGATAGATACTGCTTTGGACACGAAGATGACAGATATCCTCATGACCGACTCTGGCGCCGTCACCGCTGCCGAAGGCCTGGATACCCCCATGGCTGATTCTGAACGCATGGTTACCGAGGGCGAGGACAAGGGTACTTCAGCTGCTGTGTCTCAGCAGCCTTCGCCTCCCACGCACGATGAAGACACCGCCATGGAAGATGCTGGTGCAGTTGCCGAAGAGGCTGAGCTGCCAGAAGCGCTTGAAACCCAAGACGAAAACAAGCCAGACGTTTCATCTGCCGTCGAGGAGACCACAAAAGCATCTCTGTCTCCTTCCGGGGCACAAGCGCTATCGAAGGAGTCTTCCGTGCCTACCGCAGATGCCTCTGCACCAGAATCTGCGCCAGTTGAGGATTCCGAAAAGGTGAAGCCGGCGTCGGAAGTGGCTGCTGAAGAGCCAGCCAAGAAGGAGGAGTAAACTCTGTGATACAAGACATCAATATCGGGTCTCGGCGCAACGGACAATGGGCAGAAAGGTGTTATCGGTTTGTTGGCATGCGCGCATCTTGTTCGATCATGGAGAGATCATCCTGTTCCTCATCATACAGAATTGACGGAGAAGACTGTTTCGGCCGTCAAGAGTCAGGACATCCTAGTCTCTTTGGTCGAATTCGACCAGATGGTTTATGAAGCTCATACCCGATGCTCTCTGGAGTACGTCGTTCTCAATGGCTAGAAAGCAATGGTTTTAGTCCCTTCGATCGAGTGTGCTCTATTTTCTTTTCCCTTACTCAATTGACTTTACTTCATGATTCCATCTGTACAAGCGCATCAATGAAAGCTTTTGATCTAATCCATCCTACATGGGACGAGGAGACTGCTCGATTCATCGTTCAGATGGACTGAGTGAGCAGTCGGTATAAACTCATTACCTTTTCAGAATGTAGTCGCCATCAATATTTGACATTTGAGTATTTGAGTCCAGGTTAGCTCGCCTTCCAGGCGCGTTGATATTAACAAGTGATCACTGTGCCTGAGGCACTTAATAGTCCAGACAGAGAGGGACCCCTGCCACGTGACTGGTTCAGCTCTCGATGACCTAATCCACTTGCGGTCCTTCCTAAAGCGGCCTAGCTCTAGGGCAACCCCGTCCCACCAATCGGGGCGGCGCCAAGATTTTCCTCACCCACCAGCGCACTAAGCGAGACGAGAAAGCACTGTGGACGTTTCTTCGACTCCCGACCTGACCTTCCGTCGCCAACCCTTTTCGCCCATCTCGACAACCCAGATACTCAGCCATCATGTCTAAGAGAGGGTAAGTCTTACTGCCCTGCATTCGGATCAAAAGCACCAAAAAAAAACCACCCGGGAGAGTTTTCGCGGAGAATCTCGACGACCGAATGCGCATCATCTTCAATATCGAATATCTCGACCTGGAAGGGGAATCTTTGGACGCTGCGAGCCGGATGCTACACAACGGAGAGAATAAACGGAATCACTGACTTGAATTGATGTATAGTCGTGGCGGTGCCGCCGGCAACAAGCTGAAGATGACCCTCGGTCTGCCTGTGTACGTTTCACCTTGAAGATTTTCCCACGCCGTGTCCCTCGTCCAATGAAGCTTCGACAACCCGCCAATTGCCAGTCGCCATGGTCGAATCGATCCATCCCATATCGCCATTACCCGCTCGAATCTCGACATCAAATTTCGAACAAGACCAAACCATGACGAACCACCATTGGCGGGGAAAATATCGAATTCATTTGGACGAGTCTACACGGCCTGGGGAATCACTGCTCCGAACCAAACAACGCAATAGGAAACTAACGGTCTCGTTTTTCTCAAACAGCGGCGCCGTGATGAACTGCTGCGACAACTCCGGTGCTCGCAACCTGTACATCATTGCCGTCTGCGGTATTGGTGCCCGCCTGAACCGTCTCCCCGCTGCCGGTGTCGGTGACATGGTCATGGCCACCGTCAAGAAGGGAAAGCCCGAGCTCCGCAAGAAGGTCATGCCCGCCGTTGTCGTCCGCCAGAGCAAGCCCTGGCGCCGGGCTGACGGTATCTTCCTGTACTTCGAGGACAACGCTGGTGTTGTAAGTGGACAATCCTCCTTTTCCACGCGGGCAGAAGGTGTGGAAACGTGTGTAATGAGGCATGATTCAAGATGATTTTCGAAGATCGATTGGAGATGTCTCGTCGCATACACTCTACACCCACCATCCCCGTGCACATTCATTCTCTACATCAACATACTTATTCTTATTTCTACAGATCGTCAACGCCAAGGGTGAGATGAAGGGATCCGCCATTACCGGCCCTGTCGGTAAGGAGGCTGCTGAGCTCTGGCCCCGTATTGCCTCCAACTCCGGTGTCGTCATGTAAAGAGAGCAGTGAAAACCGAATAAAACAACAAAATTTCAACGATACCAAAACCTGACTCCTTGGGACCTGGGAATAATGGGGTGCATTCATGGCATTATTGTGGAGAGAGCGAGAGCAAAAAAAGGCAAGAGGAGGAATGGGGGAAAGGTCCATCTAACGTGACGAATTCCACCGATGTTATTTCAAGCCGGGTCTTTTTTTGTCCTCCCCATTCGTGTTTTTTTCTCCTTGAACACTGGCGACTTGAGGAAGTATACTGAAAAAATACTACCTTTTTCATGACAACTTCCGGTGCTTTTGTATCCTTTTTTGCATGAAGCTGCCTCTTTTGCTCGGTCATGGTGTTACGCTCGTGGCCTAGGCGCTCTTGGTCTTGGGCTTGAACTTATGAATTCTCATGGCTTATGGCTCGAGATGTCATCTTGGTAGGACGTAGTTGTAGTCGTGTAGATGGATGGGAGATGCCACAGTAGACTACGCCATTCTGCGGTTGCAGTATCCCTCGATCTGACGCAGCATTGCTTCGAGGTTCATGCAGCCTGACGGGCTGTACATGACTATATTCTGCTTATAAGCTATTGGTCTACAGAGTGTCTGCTGTGAATTCCCGAAGCATTCTTATACTGTAGTGTACATTAATGCGAATATACATATCTTCACACTCAATCTATCATCTCTTCAAATCATCACGAGAACGAGCCTTGCCCGGTGTCCATTCTCTGGAAGACACCTTTCCGTTCGACTTCGACGCCTCCAAGCGCGTCGTCTTGCCCGTTCCAGCCTCACCCGTTTCAGTCTCGAATACCTTGGTGACCAATCCAAGGAGTCCAAGAATCCCGGTCACCAGGATGAGCACATGCACTGCCCACCAGATATGCTGTACACCAGCCGGACACATCGTAATCTCATAATCCCATTCACCAATGCTGGCATCAAACCAAGCAGAGAAAAGACCAGCATTTCCACCAAACTCGCCCATCATCGCGCGCAGGGTCACCTCGCGGATGGACGGGGTAGTTGGCTTTTCCGGTCTATACTTGTTGAAGCGTTTGGCGGCCCAGTTCCAACTCTGGGGTTTAGAAGAGTCATCTGGTTCACCAGTAGTCTCGCCTTGGGTATCGGCCGTCCGGTTGATATAATGGATCACATCGCAGCCGGTGTGATCGTGGCCCGTAAGGATGAGTCCCTTCCGGCCATAACCACCATACGCCGCATTTTCATTGCCACTCAGTCCAAAAATACCTTGCAAAATCCCGTGGGCACTGATATGATCACTCAGATGGTTCTGTTCTCTCAGACCACCAGCCTTCCACCGCGGAACGCCATCGTTGTCATCCTCATCATGGAATGTGAAATAGGGCCCATCGGTACAAATGCCATCTTCCTTGTGCATGGGCAAGTGTGTAAGAAGCAAGGTAAAAGCTGAGCGGTCCTCAACTGGATACAGACGTTCGGTGATCAGGGCATTCAGATACGAGTAGGTGCGAGACTGAAGGTCCTCAGACAAAGCAGGCGTATCAAATAGAAGAGTATTCAAATTGATAAGGTGCAATGTCGGCAAGAAAACAGACCCATCAGTCGCATTACCTCCACGCGGAACTGGAGGATGCGCGAAACCAATGTCCCAATCGGCGCGACCAAACTCGCGCTCGAAACGCTCCAACCGCGCCTTGCTCACGTCTCCTGCGTACCCGATATCATGATTTCCGGCAACGTTGATGATGCGCCTCGGCCATGCGGAGTCTTCATCTGGTCCGAGGGGCTCCAGTGGCGGCGCGACATGTACTCGATCATCATCCTTGATGCCCGTCGCGGTAAGGTCATCGTCCACGCGTTCTGCACCGCGGAAAACCCGCGTCCAGTAGCGCTTACTGCGCCATGAGAACTCTTCATCATCAATCCATTGGCTTCCCAGAAGATCCCCCAGCACTGTAGTATGCGTTGGCCGAGTCCACCAGAACAGGGTACGGTAAATGTGCGCGAGATAGTAGTCGTTTCCGAACAGGTCTACCTGCTTCAGTGTTGCACGAATGGAACGGGGTATATCCTCGGTCGCAAACGTCTTCAGCCCAGTCTTAATGTTGTCGAGAACATTCTGGTCTAGCAGTGCCTTCGGGAGGGGTGTCGTCGTCGACGCTTCGACCACTGCTTCCTGGACAGCACGCCAGTGCGTGCGCATGCGCGGAACAAGCTTCCAGTCAGGCAGCGGCAGAGACGAGTCACCCTCAAGCTGCGGGTCTGCGAGAACTAGCAGTCTGAAGATGGCGGGCTGATTGTCCGAGGCCGTGTCCGGGGTGCGGAGGTGTTGGAGGAAGGTATTGACGACGACATTCTGCTGCAGCCGGGCAAGAATCGAGGAGCCGTCGGCACCTTTTGATTGCGCTCGAGGTAGAGGGAAACCGCAGCCATTGAAGACGGGGTAGAGGTAGAGGTAAACGGAGGCTGTGAGCGTGAGCGGAAGGAGGAGCGTAAAGACGCGGCCGAGCAGCGCGCGGAGAAACATGAGTGTCGTGGGTCGAGTGGATTAAAAATGCTTATGAATGAATAATATACAGCATAATGAATATAAAGCCGAAGGGAGGGGACTGTGAAGGGGGACAGAATGGCGCAGATTGAGGATTAAGGGTGATCAACAGCGGGAGCTACTCCGAACTGTAACCCGCTCCGCTAAGCACAACTTAAGAGGGCTGCGGCTGGTAGCGACAAGAAGCCCACGTCGGAATTAAACGATTTGGGGTTATGGACATAAAACACTCCAATTGCTAGGTATATTGGAAAATGCAGCTATAATTTCTGTGGCGGTCAGCTTGCATGTCTTTCTAATCTATGCATTTTCAAGTTTTAATTTCTTCCAAGGTTGACGGGGAGGTAGATATCTGGCTCCAGGTCCAAGGTATATATTTGCCAGTTTTTCATTCGAAAATAAACGACGACGATATGTTCGAACGCCCACACCTATGTTTGTGTCAAGGGAAACAAATGGAAAACAAAAAAGTCACCATACCTGGACTGTTGTATGCTGTAACTGGAGGCTCCTGGAAGAGAACTACGATTGTCCCAAAGACGGCACGAATCTACTGGACACCCAGCGACACCCAAAATAGGAAAGCCAAGAAATTAGGATTATCTACAAACCCACGAATATTCGTATATAGGAGAAGATAGTCCCGGATTGAGCCACGAACATCCACATCCACGTCTCAAAAGAATCATTCCACCATATCAATCATCCTCCACATAAGCAAAGACATTCAAACCTAGATCATCATACAGACAAGTTGTCCGCATCATTCAACCCCTTCGTATCCACTGGACATCATCAAAGTATAAGAAAAGAAAATATCGATCGTGACCAACAAAGAATGGAACGGAAAGTCGAGTCGGAGATCGAGGGGGTATATCACATCAAACGCCAAACGGGTAGGGGAGTGCAAAGGGGGTGGGGTGTAGGGGGGAAATAGCAAAGAAGTAAGAAGAGACAAGAGGGGAATATAGAGAACAGAGAAAATGGGAAAGAGGGTTTCACGTTGTTCGAGCGTGCAAGGTAACAGTAATTAGCAACTGGTTGCGATGGGCTAGGTGCCTCGTGCCAGAAACATAGCAAGATCTTCGGAGTTCGAGAAGAAAGGGTTACTTCGATTCGGTCTGAGCCAGTGATTCGGGGCGGAGAGGCGGGTTTCCAACCTCGGTCTCTCCGAGTGGATTTGACTGTGGGCGATTCGAGCCTTCGGGCTCATTCTCCGCTACCGCATTCCCCGTATCGGTGTAGGAGTTGCCATCTGAAGAAGGTGATTTAGGCAGATTCAATCCATCAATGCGAAGCCCCTTGTCATCTTCATCTTCTTCGAGCAATTGACCTGGCTGCTCTGAGCTGGTCGGAATATTCATCAATGCCGGTGGACGTGCTTGCATCAGGAGAGCCTGTTTAAGACTGATGGTCTTTTGCTTGTTCGATGTTTCCACCTTTCCAGACAGGTCACGCTCGATGGTTGCTTTCATAAGGGCGGCCATCCATAAACGGCCTTCTTGTACACTGTCGACCTGGAAGAAATGGGTGGTCGGCTTGGTGAACTGCACAGTACGCGAGTTGCCCGACTTTGGAGGCACTAATTTGAAGAAGAATGGCCCACTGGCGTCCTTGCCGGCGAGTGAAGCAAGGACGGCCGGGCTGGTAACTTTCATGCCACCCGCATTCTCAGTAGCACTGGCGTTGGCGGGCAACGAGGTGGCGCCAGTGACTGTCGCGTGAAGGGCGATGATGGGGTCATTGTCGGCCCGCAGCACACGATGAGCGGTGATGTCGATCAGGCCTCTTTCCTCCGTATCATCTTCAGAGTAATAGTAGGACAGACGGCGACCGCGTAGGATGAACAGCCGGGGCTTCCATGTGGTCATCAAATTGGACGACCGTTTCTTCATCCAGCCACTATAATCACAGCCGTTCATCTGCTCTCTGGGAGATTTCTTCTCCAAGCCACGAGTGTAGGCGCTGGTGTCCTTCTTGGACTTGACCGTCCGTGGTCGAACGACAATCCCGGGACCGTCAGCGGCTTTGCCAGACCCGTCAGTACTGTGGCGCTCCGAGCTCTTAGACGTGGCAGACGGAGTGGTAGATCCAGTACGACCAGACATGGGATCGTAGTCGCGAGGCGAAACGGGCGCAGAATTGTCGCTACCGCCTTTGGCGACGACGTCAGAGATGGTACGTAGGCCGACCGCTCGTCGAATCTTGGGTCCGGCACCTCCCATCTTTGGCAGTTGGAAGGGCATGGTCGAGGAGCGAACATTACCCTCTGCTTTCATGTCTGCCTTGCCATCCTTGACCTCAACTTTGTTGTCACCTCTGGAGTCGTTCTTGTTTCTGATCAAAGGCCCGAAGCTTGAGAAGAACCCTGACTTGCCTTCAGGGTTAGAGGACTGAGAGTCGTTACCGCTTCGGTTCGAAACCCGCGTACTCATGCTCCTGAATCGACTCTTGGGTGGGGTTCCATGGTAAGCCTGAGCAGCAGGTGAGACATGTGTGGATGCGTCGCGCATAGAATCGATACTACCAATTCGAGACTGGCGCTTGTCTGTACTTCGGACTCGATAAGGGTCTTCTGCGTAGCTCGACTTTCGAGAATGGCTGACACTACCACCGGTGGAGGTCCGCTTTTGCAGAGTGCGTCGAGACCGGCGCGAGTCCACTTCAGTTCCAGAGAAGTACCCTCGTTCAAGATCTTCATACTGCTCGGGTGTATTAGGCTCCGATCCGGTGACTTGCGGCCCTCGGTAAGCTGTAGTGCCCATTGACGTTCCTGGGCGACCGGGAAGCGGTTGCGGGCCACTGTTAAGAGTCCACGATCGATCGAAGGATGGCTTTTTCTGGTGGCTGCCATTCATAGCAAAATCAGGCAAACCACGATTGGTGGCGTCGATGGAAGAGTGGCGTCGGTTGTAGTCACGGATCGAAGCTGCGGAGACTCTTCGGGGAGAATCATTGCCGAATTGAGGCGTCATGGGCGTCATGGGAGAGCTGCCGTTGCTGGCCAGCCTTGGGTACTGTCCAGGAACGTGTTGTCCAGGGACGGTAGAAATCCGAGGTACATATCCTGGGCCCGTCCTTTCAGAGACAGTTGGGATTCGCGGGAGAAATGGACCAGTATGGCCCGCGCGCGATAGTGAGCGCTCTTCAGGGCCCGTTGGACCGGAAGGTCCCGCAAAGCTAGAAACGGAGCCCCTCGAAGGTTGAATCTGCAGCTTGATACCCTTCACTTCCTCTTGGAATGCCTTGATCTTGTGCCAGGTCTTCAGTCGCTTACCCATGACGCCAAGGTCAAAGTGTTTCATGAAAATGGTATCCTGATCCATCTCAAGAAGAACATCACCGGTGATTTCCTCCCTTTCGAAAATTTCGCAGTGCATGGGATCGACCCCGAGTGCAAGCAGATGCTTGGCTGTCTCGGAAGGATTCCACCTCCGCACGTCCTCTACTGCCGGGTGTGTGTTTTCTTCATCGTCCGTCTCGTTGCCGTTGATGTAAGAAATTCGATGGCTCAAATGACTGGAATATTCACTTCCTGAATCGTTGGTCGTCTTGGCCTCTTGCGTCGACACACTATGACGAGGAGTGTTCATATCCGTGATGTGCTCATCGATGACACTCAATGTCTCATTCATCACGGGGCTATCCTCGCCATTCGCATGTTTATCCATGGACCTGCGAAAAGCATCTTGAATGTTCGCCGCCAGGCTGGGCCGCGGAAGTGGAGACGAAGCGGAGCGTTGTTGCTGGGGAGAACCCAGCACCTCGGAGGTGCTGGCATGTCGCGAGGCCTGTGGTGTTGTTTGCTCGCTTCCGACAGAATTGAAAGATGTATCGACCGGGGTGGATGGCTCCATCTGTGCGGGCGACTCGGTGGTTTCGGATGCAATTACCCCTTGCGGTGCGGGGTCGTTCTGAATGTGCTCCAGCGAGCTGGGTAGTCTGTAGCTCGTAGGAACCTCGTGGGCATGCGCCAGTCTAGTAAAGCCTACAATCAGGCGTTAGTGGTGGCTTGTTCTGACACCCCTTCGCTGCTGTTCTAGCGGCCCATGTGTTGGCATTGGAGGCGCATACCTGCTGGGAAGAGGCCCTTCTGGCCGGTTCCGGGGTGTTCGCCCAGCCACCAGCCATCCTGAAATTCTTCATCCATCTCCTCTAGCAAGATCACGTCGCCGCGCTTCATTCGTAACTCATCATCTCCGCGCGGGGTGTGTTCATCTGTAACCCGTTAGGCGCATTGATCTAGAACAGGCGATCGGGCGGAGGGGGCGCGCAACAGAAGGCGCACGCAGACCCAGTGGTCACAAGCTGGGCAGTACTTACGGAGAACCCAAAGATAATTCCCGCGCTGGACATTCGGCGGCGGCGCAGGGGTCGCCTGCATATTGGCGGCCATTTCGTCGAGGGATTGATCGCAAGACTCGTTGCCGTCCGATCTTCACGGATGGGAGCCGAGGCCGAAGAGCGAGTGGTTCGGGATGGGCAAATTAAGCGCAGGACATGGGGGGCCCGGCGTAGCCCTTCCGGCGAAGAAGACAAACAAGCGATTCTCAACAGGTCAGTCGGGAATCTGGCGATGATCGAGATATGTGAAGTCGGGGAAAAGGGGAGGGAATGCAACAGGGCAGGAATCTAGCGCGTGGAAAAGGCGAGCGTGGTGGTCAGGGCTTTTGGTCATTAGCTCGCGGGGTTCGGGCGGGCAGGCTAACCTCAAAAGTGGACTGGAAGCTTCGCGCTGTCGAGACGCCGGGTTCAGGTGCACAGTGCAGCACCGCGATGAAACAGCCGTTAGAGAGCGGGCTGATGGGGGTGAGATCTCCAGAGCGTGGCAAGGTTCGATCTACCAATCCAGTGGGACAGACGGGTGGACACGGGAGTTGTTTGTTGAGACCGTTGAGGACGAAAGTCGAGACGAGGGCGACAGTACAAGACCAGAAAGTCGTTTCCAAGTCGAGTTGTGTGGTGGTTCCACCACAACCAGAGGCGATATCGTCACCAAGGGAAGCAAGCGAGAAAAAAAAAAAAAGCGTAGGCTAGCGAAGCGACCACCAGAAAGGAGAAATCAAAAGAGCCACAATCGATCTTTCGTCCCGACGATTCGAACGACCCAAATGGGGCCCGAGTGACGTGTGCGGCCGTCAAACTTGTCAACGGGGTTCCGAGGGTTCTGGACGCTGGTGAATCCACCCACGGTTTGACCCGCCGAAGGTCGTCCAGCACAGACACGGTTGGACTCTTTACAGTCCTTCACGGTCCTGGTCCGGCTTGGCCAGCTTAGCCAGCTTAGCCAGCTTAGCCAGCTTAGGCAGTGAATAAGTGGCCGTCAGATGGGTCTGCGGCAAGGCTCGATTGGAAAGATGAACGGCTGAGTGGGTTGCACGGCAGTTGGCCGAGGCGGCAATGGAGGGAGACTAGGCTGAGAGTAGTGGGATATACAACCACTGAAGAAGGAAGGGGAATTTTGGAGTAGAAGAGGTTAGTCGGATGCTTACAGAGTGGTCAGTACTCAATAATAGTTCATACTTAAGTTAGTTAGCTCATGGCTAGTTAACTACTGTCACATTCACGATGGATGCGTCAAGAGGAATGCGACCATGCTTGCAGCCCAACAGAGCCCCCCCCCCCAAAGGTACTGTACATGGGAGTGTCTTACTCCTGGTAGACAATCAGTAGCACTTCTTGAATGTACTATTATTAGTAGGATTCGACAATCCTGACCACTCCGTACACTCCGAACTTCACGGGGAAGGATGATTCGCGTCGATCTAGGACGACTCCGGAGCCTCGACCATACTGTGTATGCATGAGGACTGTGAGGATCACTCTAATTACCTAATTCCTAAACTATGTACTGATGAGAGGAATACTGGTATTGGGAGGATCCACATCATGCGACAGGAAACCCATATCCTATCTAGAAACGACAAACTTATAGTTCATGGTAATTCTGCGAGTTTGACCTCGTCACGGTAGTTCGGAATAGTACATGGCAACAGATATACGCAGTGCCTACCATTCAATATACACTGGCTAGTCTAGTGACTATCCTATTGACTTGGTACCTGTTGTTTATTATTATCGAATTTCTTATGTAAATCGGATTCCCTGTTCCTGTATTCCAAATTCGTCGTCGGAGTCCTCCCACACCATCAGACCCCCTTAAATCTCGAGAAGAAAAGGTTGTAGCAAACAGAGCAGCAACGAGCTGATTACAGTCTGAGCTCTGGAGATATCCAGAAAAAGTGCTGGTGCAGGGGAATTAGGTGATTGCCTTAAATCGCGTTGGCTACAAAGTGGCCGACAGCATGGTTGGTCTACAGTGATTGGCCTGTGGTTGGGTCCTTTGTTCTTTGGTCCATAGCCGCTCAACAGCAAACGCCTTTTCGTTTTGAGGGCCAAAATCCTTTTTTCTTCCCAAGGGCCTAAATGATGACCTCCCACTCGCTATGGGCTCTCCAAGGCTTCAGCGATCGCGACGTCCGGCCGATTACCTGGAGGACTCCAACTCCACCGCAAGCTTGTTCTTGGGTGGAGTCCGGAGGGATTGGATGGCGTCGGCGGGGACCTCTAACCCACGCGAGGCCAGGCCGGCAGCCATGTTCCCTCCGAAACCTCTAACATCTCCTCCTGTGGTTGCTTCATCCAAGGTGCCTGGAGGGATCGATGGCCCTGGACCTGCAGAGCTAGCCTTGATGTTGCCCGTGATACCGGGTGCTACTATACAAATCTCCGCCACCACCTCCCAGCAGCCTCTCCCAAACGTCCCCAGCAAACCCGACCCTCCGACAACGGCTTTTCCTTCGCCCGTCCCAAGCCCTGGTTCTCATCCAAGCCCGATTCCCTCTCCGCGTCCTACAATCCCTAATGATCCTCCCGTAGCCGACCTGGCGGTCCCACCTGCGTCTGACAAGCCGCTAGCGGCGGCAACCGTGACGGCTCGGCTGCGAAGCGACGAGAACGCAAGCCCCCGTCCATCAGTCTCGAATCAACCAACGCCCCAGCCTGTACAGAATCAAGCTCCGGGACCGCGTCTGCCGGAGGTAGCAGAGCATCCCCAGATTATACGATCGAATAATGTACCACATACCACCGATGCCCGCCCACGGCCCCTTGAAGTGGTCACAAATGGCGTCCAAGCTCCGTCTTTACAGACTCCAAATGGCCCGAACCAGAGCCCATCACTAGGGCTACAGGCGTCTCCAAATTTGCCCGCAAGTCACGCGATAGCGTCACCACTCCAACAAGCGATTCCCACACCTCATCTTGCGTCTCGATATTTGGGCTTGCCATCCTCGAACGATTGGATGCGTTGGAGGTTTCACGCAGAAGTAATATTGAAGGATGCGAGAGAATGCTCGCCGAACCTTGGTGAACTTAGAGCTTTGCTCCTGTGCAATGCATGTGACGACAATGACCTTTTCTATCTGGTGCTGCACCAGATCTATTGTGAGATGTCCAGGGATGCTCATGGGACCATCGCAAAAATTCCGGTCCTTGGCGACGAACGTTGCCAAGTTGGTCTATACAGACTCTCGGCACTCCTGGAGGACAATTCCAAGCTCTCCGGTCCTTTGCTGGAAGCGTTTTGCGTATACCCGGTCCGCCTGGAAGAATTCATGAACGCGCCGTGGTATAAAGCCCTTCTCAAACAGGTCGTGGATTGCCTCTTATGCCTTGTATCTCAGTCGTTCTTGAAAACGGAGTACCATCGTGAAATATATGAACGTCGGTATCCACCACTGGTAAAGGAGCTGAGCCAGCAGTATGGCATGACGTCACCGGTGCTACTGGGCGTGATTTTTATGTCTATATGTCGACATATCTACGACCCAAGCAGAACGAATCTTCTGCAGCACTACTTCAAAAAAGACTTGTTCCTCGTTGCGAAGAGTGCGGGTCCAGATGCCCTGTTTGCCCTGATTGAAGACTATCGAAACATTCCGATGAAGATACACTTTGCACCCCATCCCCGACCTCTGCTGCCAGCTCCTGTGAATCAGCGCCCACCCCAGCCACCAGGTGTAGCACCTGTTGGATCCGCTTGTCCTGCTGTCCCATCTCCCGTTGTCAACTCGCCCGCCACCGCGAGTCCTGAGCCACAAGCAAATGGACAGCAACCCCCCGCCAACCCTTCGCCCAGAATTCAGTCCTCAAATATGGCCAGTATCCCTCAGAACATGCAGCACGCGCAGTACGTTGACCAGCATGGTCGTCGCCTTTCATCCCAACAAGTGTGGCAAATGACTCGAATGGCACAGGGCCAGGGCCACCCATTGCAGCCAGTACTGCTGCAACCAGTTCACCCAGCACATGGTCAAGGACAGAGCACTCAGATGGGACCAGTTCCCATGGTCGTCGCGAATCCGACACCTCAAGTTCAAGTACCGGGCTCAACCCTTCCCTCCCAACTCAACCCCTCACCGTCGCCGTCTCAACACTCTGCACCTGGCTGGCCGAATTATGTGGTTCAGCAACAACAGCCCCATTTCCCGCAGCAGTTTCAGTTCCAACAGCAGCAGCAGCAGCCGCCACAGGCGCCATCGACACAGCATAGGTCAACTGGCGACTCGGCTGCACAACTCTCTGCTGCGTCCCATGCAGTTCAGACATCGGTAATAAGTCGGACTGGTCACTCAAGCGCGCGGCAGTCTCCATCAGTACGGCCCGTCCCCGTCTCGTCACCAGTGGTGCAGGTTCCTCAAAGGCAGACGAGCCGACCTCGTGTGCCGCTTGGCTCGCCGCTACTCCCACCTGAAGGCTACAGAGCTCCACTGATAGTGCATCCGAACCCAATGCGCGTTGGCCTGCATCAGGCTGACCTTCGGGATCCAATAAGGCACTTGGTGCGGCCGACGTCGGGCGGCGGCCTTGAAGAAACCGCCCTGTATCAATACCTTGGTGGATTCTTGCTGAGTCCAACGCGGATTGATCCAGAGGTCTTCAGTTATCGCTGGAAGTTCTCCATTTCCGCCTCAGACTACCAGTGCTTCCCTCGCTATGCTGACAGTAGCCAAGGCCGAAGACAGGTTCGAACAATTCAACCAGGCTGTCGGACTTACCGCCTGCGTACGATTGTCCTGCCCGACAAGCAGAAGGAAGATGTGCAAACATTCTGGCCAACTGCAAACACTACCTGGCCCAGTGTTCTATACATATTTGTCAACAAAATCGAAGTGTACGTGCGGCGGAAAGTTCATAACGGAAAGGACATACCCTTGGATATCACCAGATATCTTCGCGAAGGCGATAACGAAGTCAACGTCCATCTACTTCTTGGCCCCGGCGAGTGTAAAGACTTCCACTACGCGTTGGGTATCGAAACCATGTATATTTCTGAGTACAAGGAGGTTCTCGCCAAGACACGTCAATCCCCGGCGTGCGACACCCGTACCGATATCAAGAAACGGCTGAATCCGACCACCGACGACGACGAGCTAGCCGTCGTCACCGACAGTCTGACAATTCCCCTTATCGACCCCTTCATGGCACAAGTCTGCAAAATTCCGGCTCGTTCCACGAATTGCACCCATATCGAATGTTTCGACCTGGAGACCTTCATAACAACCCGGAAATCTCTGTCAGGTCACTCACCAATGAATGATGACTGGCGTTGCCCAATCTGCAAGGCAGATGCTCGACCGCAGTTCCTGATCGTGGATCATTTCTTCGTTGAAGTTTACGACGCGCTCAAGAAGGGAGGCTATCTAGAGACGGCTCAATCGATTCAGGTCCGAGCCGACGGGAAGTGGACCGTCAAAACCGTTAGCGACGATGCTTCCCCTTCTAGCCCAATCCGAGGCCGACTTTCCCAGTCCCCTTGGTCTGGGAAGCGCAAGGCGGATAGTATCACCGATGCTGCGGAGCAGTCTTCTCGACCTAAACATGAGAACTCTCCAAACGTCCCCACCGAGGAGCCCATGATTATTGAAATAGACTAATAAGGCTCATCACTGATCGACTTCATATTACCGACTATACCCTGGCGAGAGAAGTCTGGCGTCTATCAAGAGTGCTCAACTTCTTTCTATTCTTTCTGTTTCCGTCTTTTCTATTTTCAAAGTTGTTTTTTGTTGGCCTCTGGCTACCCTCACGTGCATGTCAAAATAGTTATACCCCCCTTGGTTTCCATTATTAAAAGCAGATTGTCATGATTGGTACGGATTCTGCTGGCGTTGAATTGATTTCTTATCTTCTCTTGTTTGAAAATTCTCTCGGTGCTTCTTATTTTCTACGGAAAAACCGCGTGTGAATATAATGCTTGTTTGATCGCCAGATGAGAACCTTGTTCCCTCAGCGCTGTTTCCCAGATGGATAGCGTTCGATGAGTTGTGGGCGTGGCCCTTTAGGACTAAGACTTCTTATTTCATGCCGTGCCTACAGTATTACTCGATTTTCCGAAAGCTTACACTTTCTACATTCCACGCGCACTTTCACCACTAGACTTCAAGCACCAATTTTGAAAGAGCAATGCTCAATATGAGACTTTCTATGTGTTCGTAGATTAGCCAAGCGGGAACCCAACGTCCCAAACGCAGATCATGCTCATTCAGTGGATGTTCTTTCCCACCTTCGACATTAGGATAGATTATACAGAGATATAGGTATATGAAACATTTAGAACCATGCCGCTCATCAGAAAGCTAAATCCCAAAAACGCTTTCACTTCCTGACTCGCCGAACATGACTGACAAGGTTCTCAATGACCCCCTCAAACGCCTCCTTCTCGCTCACCAGGCCATCCCGGCGCTTCAGCCAGTACTCCAATACCGAACTGGCGCGTAGGGTGACCTGCTCCAACTCTGAGACGTGTTGGGTCAGCTCTGCGTCCGTTAGGCCGCCGAGCGCGGCGTCTGTGGTCGCGCACAGCCGACGGACTGAGGAAAGGTCTAATTCGGGAGGCGGGGCTGCACCACGTCGGCTGGTCTTCGAGCGAGTAGGGGCCTGCCCTGTCGTGGCTGCTTCGTCGCCCTCTTTGCGGGCTTGATTGTGGGATGGGGTGGTGGTTCCCGAGTTGTCGAGGTCGATGGATGGGAGGATGAGCTTCTTCTGTTTGGATGCTGGGAGGATCTCGTCCAGGTCCACGGGAACGCCGAGGGAGACGAGGAAGAGGCGACGGATACGGGATTTGACCCAGTTTTGTGGTTGGAGGGGTGGTGGTGCTACTAGCTGCGACCATAGGGAGAGACTGCGCTCTGTGCTGAAGATGGCGGAGGGGTCGGGGATGGGTTCCACTGGTGGGAGAGAGCTGAGGTCTTGGGCGGCGGGGAGGAGGTTATCGAGAGTGCCTTGAAGGGCTGCTAGGAGTTCGGAGGTGGATTTGAAGTTGTCAAAGTCGATGAGAGGGGGCTGGCGGAGATAGGCAGTCAGTGATCAGTTTGTAATCATGGTTACTGGACCCACTTACGACTGATATAGGTACTTGAGGTTGTTGAGGTATGGTGCTGTCAGCTATAGCGGCGTCCTCAACAACCTCGGGCTCTTGGAAGGCATCGTCAAAGTCACCGAAATCGTCGTCGCCCATGCCATCTTGCTCCTCCACGAATTCGTCAAAATCGTCTCCAAAACCATCCTCGTCGTTTGCCTCTGCAAAATTACGCTCTTCCTCTGCGTGATCCGGTGGGGGAGCATCAGACATAGTTTCCACTGTATCGGGCATTGCATCACTTGGCGATCTTTGATGAGCACGTGGTCGTGATGGCAGCTCATCTTCGGCGGGTATAGTGTCCACTCGAGAAAGCCGCGTCTCGGGAATTGATTGATTGGACTCATTGGAAGCATTGGAGTCTGGGGATTCCCGATCCGACGCTGGTGGTGGGAGAACGCTTTCCAAGTCGGAGGAGGCCTTTGTTACAACGTCGGGCACGGCATCTGCCCGGCGCGTTTCATATGCTTCGGTACCAGGGACTTCGCCATAGCTAGGCGATTCCAAATCTACTTTTTCAACGACTGTCCGCGGGATTGGCGAGCCGCCTGGGGTCAAGGGTCGGTGTTGCGACCCCGCCGGAGAAGGATCCCTGATGCGTGAACCTTCCGGGACCACTTCAATTTCGTCGGGAACTGCATCTTGTCCCCGTTTCTCGTATGCCTCTGTGCCGGGCACTTCACCGTGTTGGGCGCTGTCGTCAACTCGCTCTACTCGAGTTCGTGGGACAGAGGAAGCACGACCAGACGGTGGGCTTTTTGTTTGTAGGTTTGAATGGCCTTCGCTAGCATCTGAAAAGTGTTCCTCGTCGCTGTCTGAACCTGCCGTAGTGAAAATCCGTCTTAGTTTCCCTCCAAATAAAGTGACGTAGGGGGAGGTTTGGCGAAAATAACATACAATTGTCCCCTGCTCCAGGGTCCTCCCTCTCAATGGTCCTGCTTGGGGGTTCAAGGTGGGTGGAGGAATCGGGCAGCGCATCCGACATGATTGCGGGGGTGGGGTTTAAGGCTGTGGCATGAGATGAAGGTAGAGACGAGGTGGAAATTGGGAGAATGACATGCAAGTACTAGGTAACCTAGTGTGTGTAGCGCGAGAGTGACGACGTTGGTACCCTGCGATCGACTCGAGTCCAGAACATGCAAGCCTCAGGCACAAACAAGGCTATTTTGCTGCCTGAGTGATGAGGCAGCCACTAGCGCGTAACTCACCTGCTTCAAACTCCTGCCGAGTTATTGTTGCCCTGCCTACTCCAAACCCAACTTCACCACTCACTCTCTGGGTTTCCAATATTTTCCCGCCCTCAAGCGATAGAATCGCACCGCCTTTCTCGGACCTGTGACCTCTTTTGCAGGACTCTCCTGCTCCCTGTGCTGGTCGACGGCCCCGTTTCCTCTTGTTTCTTTTTCACCCAAGCCCAACCCCAAGCTTGCCGGTTCGCTCTGATCGCGACAACACATCAACATGTCGTTCACCTTCGGCAGTGGAGGCTCCAGCGGAGGTTCCAACAATAATCTTTTCGGCTCAGCTGGCAAAACTTTCGGTTCCAACAATCAGACTAGCTCCAACACCGGATCAGGTGGTTCTGGTCTTTTCGGAAATGTAGGAGCCTCTGCCACCAGTGGGAGCGCTTCCCCTTCGCTCTTTGGTACAGCCTCTTCGGGTGCGCAGAGTCCCTCAGTCTTTGGAAGTGCGGGCGCTACTACTGCTGGGACTCCTGGAGCATCTTCGGGCTTCTCTTTCGGCTCGAACCAGAATACTGGCTCGACAACTCCCGCACAACCAGCCAGCAGTGGCATGTTTGGCAGTGGTGGAGCTGCAAAGCCCTCTGGTAGCTTCTTCGGTGGTGGTGCCTCGTCAGCTACTCCAGCCCCTGCTAGCACTCCTTTGTTCGGAAACACCTCAACTACCCCCGCTGGTCCCCCGCCGGGAGCTAAAGCACCTTCGCTCTTTGGAGGACTGAATGCCGGCACTTCTACTACTCCGTCGTCTACCGCCGCTCTCTCCTCTACCACACCGACTACCTCGCAACCACAACCATCCGGCAACCTCTTCGGGGCCGGTGCTACTCCTGCCAACTCAAAGCCTCTGGGCTTCGCCCCAGCTCCGCCGTCTGGTGGTGGTAACCTGTTTGGCAATGTCAACAAGCCGGCCGAGTCCAGCACTCCGGTTGCCAGCGCAGCGCCAGCTCCCAAGCCACTATTTGGGGCCGCAACAACCACTACCGGCGGCGACACAACCCCGAAGCCTACGTTCTCTCTAGGCGCGAAACCCGCTGCTAGTGCTGAAGCTCCCAAGTCTGCGTTCTCCCTTGGTGCAACTCCCTCTGCCAGCGGCGATGCAGCTCCCAAACCTACCTTCGCTCTTGGCTCAACCTCTGCTGCTAGTGGTGAAGCACCTAAGTCCGCATTCTCCCTCGGTGGAACTCCCTCTGCGGCCCCGTCCACTACAGCTGCATCCACTGCTACTCCACAAAAGGCCTTCTTCCCCAGTCTTGGAGGAGCCACATCCTCGACCACTCCGTCATCTACAGCAGCTGTACCTGCCGGAGGCTCACTGTTCCCTACATTGGGAGGTGCTAAATCTACGGCTGCTGCCACTTCCGGGACTCCGGCTTCTACTACAGCTGCCGCTACCACCACGCCTGCGGCTGCATCCAGCATGTTCCCTAAGCTTGGAGGTGATAAGCCTTCCACCCAACCCGCCGCTGCCACTGCGTCGACGGCGACGCCGGCCCTGGGTACAACTGCTAGTGCGACAACTGGCACGACCGCGACTGCTCTCGGCCAGTCGACCACTGGCCCTGCGCCCCCGGCACAGTCTCGTCTGAAGAACAAGACCATGGATGAAATCATCACTCGGTGGGCGACGGATCTCACCAAGTACCAGAAGGACTTCCGTGAACAGGCTGAGAAGGTCGCTGACTGGGACCGTATGTTGGTGGAGAATGGCACCAAGGTTCAGAAGCTGTATGGCAACACAGTCGATGCTGAGCGCGCCACCCAGGAGGTTGAGCGTCAATTGGCATCAGTTGAGGGCCAGCAAGAAGAGTTGAGCTCATGGCTTGATCGATATGAACGCGAAGTGGATGAGATGGTTTCAAAGCAGGTGACCCCTGGCGAGCAGGGTCCTGATCAAGAGCGGGAGAAAACGTGAGTAGTCGCACTCTATTGTTACGTCTTCTTGAACGGATCAGCTAACTCATATTCACACGCAGATACAAACTCGCTGAGAAGCTCTCCGAACGACTGGATGAGATGGGCAAGGATCTCACCAGCATGATCGAGGAAGTCAACGGTGCCTCCGCAACTATCAGCAAGACAAACCGGGCCGACGAACCAGTAAGTCATTATCTGCTATACCATTGCTGTGCGCATTTTGCTGACACTTGCAATAGATCTCTCAAATCGTCCGCATCCTCAATTCGCATCTGTCCCAGTTGCAGGTTATCGACCAGGGAACCTCGGAGCTGCAGGCTAAGGTTGCCGTTGCCCAAAAGGCAGGACAGTCAATCTCCTCGCGCCTTGGCTATGGCTATGCCAGCCCTGGTATGGGTGGAGGCAATGCTGCTGATGATTTCTACCGATCTTACATGGGTAGGCGGTAGAAGGATGATTTCATGGGTGTGCTAATGGTTCTTTAAAATGCGGGGTGCTGATTGACAAAGTTTTCACTGGGAAAGGATTATTTTCGAGTTGGATTTCTCCAATTATGTACTTTGCCTTGCGCTGTTCAAGCTTGACTGGTACCCTGGGGGATGCCTCTCATTTGTTGTATATTTCTGGACTGGGTCTGGTCCTTTGGTTTTTGGTCAAGGCAGTAGGTAGAGGGGCGTATTTCAAAACATCGGGGATGCTCTAAGGCCAGAGCCAGTCTTCATTCTTGTGCTTATCACCTCTAGCCATGATTAAGCCCCTAGATGTCACATGTAATTTGCTGAGCTGAGAGGTAATGCCATGAAATTTACTCAGTTACAATCGGCATCCATGTTGATTCGGTGCTCGAAGCTGCTCAAATGGTCCTTGCATGAGCATTCTCAACGATTATTCCAGAGCAACAACAGTTAGATGTGTAGACTCCAATGAATCTGTTTGAGAAGATCTTAGATCTCGTTTATCGACGGCGGGCTAGACTGGCTGCAGCCAACGTGGCTTGAGCTATATGCTCAACACCTCGTTTTGCTGCTCAAGGTAGGGGAGCTCGATATGGCTACTGGTAGCTTGAGTTCTCATTGAAACGCCTTCATGGTACTCTTCAGGTCACTTTGTTTGTCGCCTCTATAGTGGTTCGTTAAGGATGATCAAGTTGATTCACCAATTGCATGTAATCCTATTCACGCAGAGATATTCGCAAGAGTACTCAGTCCGTTGGTTGCTTTGATTGCTTGATGGTAGTTGTAGTCTTTGATGTCTGCACCCCTATGATCTTGGTAAAAGTGGTTGCTCAGTATGAACCGGACACCAACTGCAGAGCTGGGAGGATGTCCATGCAGTTCATCAAGCTAAGCTATGTAATGATCGGTGAACATGGAGCTATAAAGACCACTCTTTCAAGATATATGATACCGTGCGTAAGAGGGCTCCAGTACCACCGTGAACCCATCATCACCCAGTTCGCTGTATCCTCGGAGGCTGATATAGAAACATGCCAGCCTCTGCCCTGGAGGTTATATCAAAGCATGAGTGAATCACATGAATGCCAGAATCAGAAGTCCCAATTAGGAAGGCCTTGGGCTGCTGAATTGGGCCAGCAGCGATCACATGCTCCACGCTGGCACTGGAGGGCAAACGCATCTCCCAATTAAGAAGGCATGGCAATCGCTGCCTGGAGATTCACGATGAGCAAACATCCTGATTAGGAAATAGGAAGGAAACTAGGGCTGGCTCCCCTTGCCCTACTGGGTATAAATATCTCTTCTCCCTCCAGGATTCTTCTCCTTTTCATCTCCCCAACCCTCCTCCACTTTCTCCAGGGTTTGGCCCACCCTCCACTGGCCCACTTGGTCTGTCACTCAACCTTATTTGGTCTTTCACTTGACATCTCTCTACCATCAAGGCCCTCTTCCTCTGCAAGGCTTGCATCTCTTGACACAACATCCTCGTGTCTCTTGTCCTTGACCAAGGCCTGTCATCCATCTACACCTTGTTGTCATCGACCTCATCGTGTCTGGCCATGTTGAATCAACCCTCTTGGCCGTCCTTCCATTTGTTGACCATATCTTCACAACACGTCAACACCTTGACACGTCCACATGGTATCATACCTCCATGGGACGGCAAAATCTTCATGACACGTCCACACCTTCACGGCATGTCGACACCCTCATGACTTGTCCACACGTTCATGACTTGTTTACATGGATCATCAAGTTGTCTGGTATGTATTCACAGTAAAGATTCCTCCACAACCTTGCTAACATGTAAGCGGGCAGGCTGTGTATCTTCGACATTTCGATCATCATACCCTCCACTGCCGAGATGTCCGATCATGCTGCCAACTACCTGATCTCGACTTTGGAGCATACCAACGGCGATGATGGTACTCAACAGCTCCACGGGAAGAAAACCGGAGCTGACGGTCTCTAGAGGTCACATTGCTTGAGTTTGCCTTTGCGGAGCATACCAACGGCAAGGATGGTGTTCAACCGTTGCGCGGGAAGAAGGCCAGAGCTGGTGGTCTCTGGAGTCGCACTCTTTTTTGAGTGTATCTTTGGAGCATACCAACAGTGATGATGGCGCTCAACCGCTTCACGGGAAGAAGGCCTGAGCTGGCGGTCTCCTGGAGCTTACATTGCTCGAAAAGATGTTATGCGCACCGCGACAGATTGAAAAGAGCCGGCGAGGCCTGCGACCACCAAGGTATGTCCCTCCATTCCAACCTCTCAATCGTGCTCAGATACTCACTATTTGGGGACTTTTTGCCTGTTCGCAGATGCTCAAATGGGACTTCACTACCCCCTGCTGCACAAACCACCACCAAAGTGTCACGCAGTTCAAGATAATTGATACATCACTCTTCCACGCTGTGGATCCAAAGCCTACCGCAGTTAACATCCAAAAAAAAACTTTCATAGAAGTCCCCAATTCAGAAGAATGAGCTCCACTCAAGCAAGTTCTGTGCCCTCCACCGCCAACGTCTTCGATTCCCTAGCGTCAAATTTGCCTCATGACGTCGCAAGTCTTTCAGCAGGAGAACGCGCAACTCACCCACCAATCGAGAAGCCATTGAGAGCGTGTCACCATACTTTCCAATGGATCAATTCCAACGAGCAAAAGCAACAGCCCAGGTCTTTCTCAGTGAGTCAAAGCCATCTTGACATGCTATGAGGACGACATGCTAAAGGATGTTTCCAGAAAATTGACTCGATCAATGTCAAAGCCAAACTGGGCGGAACGTGGAGGATATCGGGATCACAAGGAACGGATGAGACAAATATTTGATGTGTTCAAAGGGGGATTTTCGATGGACCTTCTTGTTTTTCCAATTCGCTTCTCCAAACTCACTTTTCGATTGCACAATTAGCCTTTCTTTCCATCTTCTTTCTTGTCACTCAACAATAAATGGCACTTGAAGCTTTTGGTTGATATTTTTCCTTGGCCTGGTAGATGGTAGTACTCTTCGACGTGTGTGATGGGTTGGCCTCAATCTTCATCGTCTCAGGGCTGTCCTACCCATTAATTCTGTGCTTTCATCACCACCCTTCCGCATCCGTGGTTGTATCGCTATACTTCTTGAGGGGATAGTGGGCGATAACGACGATTATGCCGAAAACAAAATAAGACCAGTTATAGTCATCACCGCAGATATCGCCCTCGTACTCGTTGTCTTGAACATCATCGCCATCGTCGGTAGTCTCAGCTATTTTTTACTCAAGCCGAACACATTAACTGACGCGGAGTTTTCCTTGTACAAAACTACTTGCTTCGAAGGGTTAAGCGAAGAGGCTGCGTTATTCAGGGCCCTAAAGAGAACTAAGAGCAAATCGATAATAGGAAATCCCAATAATCCAGATCGACTAAATACAAAAAAAAAACATACAACAGCCAGGATTCGCATGTGGTCACCCACCATACTACTAACTGGCCGGCGTGTGGCTTAAGTACGGCTGAGCGGACGGGAAGCCCTGTTCTCCACACCCTATGGTCGTATGTGCTTAGAGAGCAATACAAGCAAATTATATGTCCTGATTGATCCTAAAGACAATGCAGAGAGCGCTGCTTTAGCGTCGCGCGACCGGGGTCGAGAAGGGTCAGTACGCAATAGACAGGGTGAGAAGCTGGGTAAGAGCGGGTGATTCTCACCCTCCGTCGCGCAACCACCGCACTGACCCTTTTAACTGAGCTCAGATACAGCATTGTTGGTTCACCTCAGTCTGGCTGAAACTGTGGTCTCTTGGCACATACATATACCAAAGAATTCCTACCCAGGATTGGCTAAACCAACGGCGAGGCTGACTTCAAGGTCACGACTGAATGGCGCTAACGCTAGATAAAACGCAGCCTCAGGGGCCTAAGATTCAGCTTGACCCAAATTCCGTCTACGCTTTCTATGCAATCATTATCAACTATCTGTCTGGTGTGCGTCCTTTTTATTCCTCTACTGTCGTGTCTTTTGTCATTTCTGATAGCACAAATTACTGTCAACTTTCTTCATGGCCGATCCTTTGTCTGTAGCTGGGAGTGCAGTAGGCATCATATCACTTGGCCTCACTGTTTGCCAGGGCTTACTCGCTTACTACGGACCATTCAAATCGTTCCATGATCAGATCGACGAGGTCATATGCCGAATAGCAGCTCTAGATGGCATATTGAAGGTACTAAAAGATGTGTTCATGGATGACCATATAATCTCCACCTCTTTGACAGCTCAATCCGCAGCAGTCGCTGTCGATTGTATTTTGCGCTGTTCAGAGGGATTACACAGACTGAAAAAGACACTCGAGAAATGCACCAGCACCAAATCAACCAACAATCCTTTCAGATCCGAGATCCAGATCAACCGGATGTTATACCCTTTCAGACGTGACACACTCATGGCACTCCTGGAAACAATGAGTTGGTTACAGGCCAATCTCAATACTTCACTGCAAATACTGAACATGTAAGTAGGCAACAAAAGAATTATATGTGCTTTTCGCTGACTGAACGGAATACAGTTCTATGATGGCCGCCAACCAGAAGCAGATGGATCTACTAGCCACGAGATCAGTATCAACCGTGTCAAATACAGGCCAGATTTTAGATGTGGCCAGTCGTTTAGACAAACGTAATAGTGGTCTAGACAACAGATTCGATATGCTAGAACAGCATCTACATCAACTGGTACGGATATAACCTCAGCTCAGAGTGCCCTTCCCTATAATGAGACAACCACTCATCCCCTATTTTCAGGAATGTAATCTTCTTTGCCATGGAGCACGTCCAGCCGTTCTAGCACCGGCTTTGCTACGATCTTTTTTGGATACCCAGCAAAAGTTTGATAAACAAGTAGGCAACCTGATAGCAGGAGCTCAATCTCAAAGGCGAAAAAGCCGAATCAGATGCACATGCTCTCGTCGCAATCAGCCGTTGTTTTTCGAACGGGGAATTCATCAGCTGCCAACAACTCATGATGATGCCTGCCGATTCCACAACCAGAACAGAGCAATAATCGTATTATTCAGACGATGGACATTCTGCAGCTGGATTCTAAGCTTCTCAATCCAAGCATCTTTGACTATCACCAAGGGAGCTGGAGGCTTTTCTATCAGCCCTCACCTTGAATTCCGTGCAATTGTGCCAGTGGATTCGCCCGTGTTCAGGCTCCTCCTTGATACACAGACAGACTTGATGTCACAGGCAGCCCGAGATATCATAGAAAACACCCATAAAAAGTTATTTGGATTGCTTCAGGAAGGCCAAGGATCATATTCGGACACTCTACCCGATGGTGATACGATTTTACATGTGAGTAAATCTTGCCTCACTTGAAAGACCTAGTTCCCGATTAGAATTCTCTTTGCTTATATTATCGGCACGTATTATTCACGAGAAATACTTTTTCTAACCTTTTTTTTATTTAGGTGGTAACTGGCTGGCAACAGTACAGTCACCGTTGGGACGCCTACGCGTGGATCCAGTGGCGTGTTTTTATAAATGCCCTTTTAGAAACAGGCCTGTTACCAGATCGTGTTAATGACAGAGGCAAAACTCCTGCGGACATACTGCTAGCCCGTTTTCAGGATCTTCATAGACACAGAGATCCTCGTCAGCAGCAGGCGACCATCGATATTTGCTCCGATTTGCTGAATTCTGGTGGCTACATGACGCACATGGCCCTTGACTGTAGGCATCGTCCGAACTGGCTTGATCCCAGTTACCATTTCACTTGGATTGATGGCCGTAGAAACGGTCGCCTTTTCGAAGATTACAGTGTTAGGCTTGTTTGGCAACTTGCCGCGGAGCTTCAAGGTAGACCTGCTACAAGAAAGGTGGCAGAGAAACAAAAGCTAATTTACCTACAGACATTGATCTTCCGGAAGAGTTGCTTCCTCTTATCTATCGGTCAAAGAACCACCTTATGGCGCTTCTGAAAAAAGGCCTTGATTTGCAGCAATGGGTTGACTCTTATACACACTGGCCTAACGGTCTGGCTTTACTTTTCCAGTTTGGCTATACACCAACCGAGAGTTGTCTCACCTCAGCATGCGAAGCGGACTGCGAAGAAAGCGTTAAGCTTGTGATCAGTACTCAAAAGTACTATCTCGGACCCTCGGAATTGGAAGTTGCAAGTAACCATCATAATTCAGCAGTTGTGGAGTTGGTGGTACAGGCACTCGTTGACCGCAGAAGGCGGCTACAAGTTCTAGCGGAGACTTACTTGCCGGACGAGGTTATTTCTCAGCTGGGTATTAGGCCTGACAATCTCCTCAGTCTTCAGGCCTATAAAGTTTACCAGCTTCTCAAGACGAGCTCCATAGATGTCGACGACGTTAAAGAGTGGTATACCTGGTCGGTCTATGATTATGTAGGGACCAATCTTAAGTTGGCGGACCATCTATGGGATGCCGGCTTCCGAGACGTGGATGAAGTGGACGATGGCAACAAGACCTGCCTGATGAAGTTGTGGTGGAATTCACCCCCGTGCAGCCTTAATGTCCTCTTAGAAAAGGCAAGCTGGTTGATCAACAAAGGTGCTGACATTGGTCTTAAAAGATCAGGCTCGCGAGCCCTACACTACCTAGGGCAAACTGTGGGGAAAAATTTGCATTTCAAGGAAAGTCTTGAAGATTTTGCCTTGGAAATTGATCAGCTGAGCGAAAGGTCCAAGGATTTATTGTTCACAATACTTGTCGAAAATACTCGAGACTGTTGCTGCTGTCCCTGTTCTCTAAAGGGATGCTCTGGCCTCACGACACTTCTTAATGGACTTTTCCGGACATGGCCCGAGAAAGGAATGGGGGACCTTATCCAGATGCTTGCGATAATGATTAAGAGCCTAATAGGCTCACTAGGGCCAGAGATCCAGGAAAGCCTCATCTACCAACTCGCGCCCTGTGTCCTCCGCTTTATCACCTGTCAAAGTCTGGAAATTTCTCACACCTGCGTGCATGGACTTTCTGGAGGAATAGATGCAGAAGAAATTAGAGAGATTCACGATGAGGAGAAGTTGTTGATACTGGAGCTTGACAAACTCGTGGTTGAGTTTCTTTCAACATCAAGTAGGCTTGGACTATCCTTTCTCGACTTCTTGACGGACTATTGGTCGATGGAGATGGATGAGGCCCTCTTATCACGTGGGACACCCAGTGAGGAAGATATCAGTCAGATTCTTGAGACAGGGGTGGTTTTGTATAAATAAGAAAAGGCGAACACAGTTTTTCCGAAGCCGCCTTTGGCCCGACTTTTGCTTTGTGGTCAATCAATATTCTTCGAACTGATCTGGCTTCCTTTATATACATAATACAGATGCTATGCAGGGGTTTGCTATCTTGCTTAACCAGCAGCAGACGCAGGGAAAAGATGGTGTAGACCGTGTGAGGGTTGTGACTCGCTAAGCCAGGGAATAACTTCATTCTGCGGGATTGGCGCCTGAGGTATCTGTTTGGGATGTTTGCCTGTCTGCTGTGCACTTGAGCTCTCTCTATTGAGAATCTTCCCTTTCTCCTCTTTCCTCTCTAGATTCGATAATTTTCGTCCAATGGTACCGAATTGATCTGTTCTTTTTGATTGACTCGTAACAGACCGGCCACTCACGTACATGCGAGTAGTTAACGTGGTCGGTAAGCGAGTGACGCACGTAAGCGAGTGACGCATCAACCCAGCTACTCTTCAGTTTTGGATAATCTTATCAACCACAACGCCTTTATATTCATTAGTCTCTATTTGGACAAGCATTCTTCCTATGGCCTATTTCACTACAATTACCGCATTTAGGTAGGGCCCGCGCCTTCGGTGCTTGCGTACCCTGCGCCGGTGGCACGCGTGGACCTGGTACTGCCTGAAAGAACGCATTATGAGCTTCCTCGAGCTCTATTGCTTCTCGTACGGATAAACCGTTATCGTGAGCTATCCATCTATTCGCACGAGCTCGCTTTTGCCTTTGTGTAGCGTTTGCGGCACGTAGCTCCTTATTTTCTTGCTCGAGAAGGATACCCTTTTGCATCGCGATTTGACAGCCCTTAATAAGCTGGTTTAAGGCTTCGTGTGATAGTGATAGTGGGCTATTCGAGCGCTGTTTAAGGAAAGCTTTGATCGAGGATGCTTACTTTAAAAGCTCGTCGACGTTCGCTGGTGTATACGGATAAAAAGCGCTTGCTTGACTACCGCGGCTTGCGGGTGGCTGTAATAGGACTACTTGGCAGGGTAGCGGCCTGTCAGTCAGGTAAGGAAGAGGGCAACAGTATAAATTAGTGCAAAGGTGTTTCTTGCGGATCCCTCAAGAAGCCATTCGATCTTAGGGTATTTATCGTGCGATGCACTATGGCCTAGCTGTCCCAATCTAGTTACATAATACGAGCTGAACTCCAGAAAAAGCAAAGGGTGGATTGTGTAATATGAGGGAGGGGTAGCGTGTGGGTGTATAGACGGGCCGGTCCCTCTGGCGAGGGCCCCACGACGGGTAGCCGATCCCCTCTCGATCTGATGTCCGCGAATAGAAGTGGGAATAGCCTCATAGCTTCAGCAGAAAAGCACAACATAGAAGAAAGCTCATAACAGTGGCGTAGGCGTCCGAAGTTAAATATTGAGCTTTGATAGTACTAGTTCGGGATTAAAAGGCACTAATCCTGCTGCCCGGAAGCTACTTTGAATCGTATCTAGCTTAAATATGTCGGTACAAGCTTGCGGATAGGCTATAAGGAAATCAAGTTTATCGATATAGTTAATCCCGAGCCGCATTTTCTAGCTGACTAAGCTACCGTACGAGCGCTTTAAAACTGCGAAACATCTATCAAGTGGCTGTAAAAGATGCGAGGAATACGCTAGTATATAGATCAGTATAATATCGTGATCTGCGCAGACTTAATCGAATTATGGTGTAAGATAGCTTCCGTGTCCGTCGAGGACTAAAAGTCGATATCTTCTACGTGTACGACTATTAGTTGACGGGATAAACTCCTTTTGGAGCCAGCGAAGGCCTATCTCGTCGGTCGTCTATCCGTTCGCACAAACCTCGAAGCGCTAGTCGTGAGGTAGATCTTGAAACCACGCTTAGTTATATTGTTTACCCTTAAAAATAAGCGTTAGTAGAAGTGCCTACCCAGAAGCGTTAATTAACTCGATTACGGTTACCCACTCGCGGTTTCCTAGCTATAAACCCGATCTCCGACCGTAGTATTCTGCTCGTGTAATCACTTTTAGATTCGCATAAAGGCCTATCGCGAAGCCAGTCTCGTCAAAATTATATATATCCTCTAGTAGGATCCCGTATTGTTGAATCGTGGCTTATAAAGTATTAAACCACGCTTAAATAATCTTTGGATCCTCTTGTAGTGCACGCTAGTAGTCGTATTATCGTGAAGGCCGAGATTTAAGCTCTGGATAGCGTTGAGTGAAGTTATATACCCATTTCTCGCCGACGGTTTAGATCTAGGTAGACCCACGCTTCGCGAGTAGAATATTCGCTATTTCTCGTACGTAGGCTTATGTAGGGGCTACTCCGCGAAGATCTAAGGACAATATCCGCTGCTTAAGCAGATCCTCTTTAATCTGTGTCAATTTATGACAATTTGCGCGAGATTCGGCGCGGTTTGAAGTACCGCGTAGTCGACGACGGAGCGTAGCCTCAGGCACATTGAAGCGGCGTGCTGTCTCGCGTATAGATCTGTTTCCTTATTTCGAATAGCTTGAATAGCAACGAGGATTCGGCCCTCTTGCTCAGCGGAGTTTCTAGCCGTTCGACTGCGACCTGGTGGCATGGTGGCTGATGGAAGACATCCAAATTGCCAGTTAGAGGCCTTTTAGCAATTCAGACCTATTGTGATTTCCATTGGTGCACCCGTATGATCGATCCACTTTCCTCTGATTCCGTTAACGTGCAATTCTTTTATCTTGATAAAAGGTTTTTTTTGGACGTCCTTCAGGAGCATCTTCTTCGAATGGCTAAGTGTTAAGGAAAAAAAGAGCGCCCTGGAGCTCATATTTATGGCCTGGAGTCAAGTGAAAAAGGGAAAGTGGGTGACTGGGTGATCTGGGTGATCTAGATGAGAAACCTCGCCCTATTCTCACCCGCTCTCACCCGCTCTCACCCCGTTCCCACCTTTTATCACCCCTGTTGAGTTATAAGTAACGCTTCAATGTTTGCATAGTTGATGGGAGTTGATTGTATTGTTGTGTGTTGTTCTAGGTACAAAGAGGCTGGTAGCCAGGTAGATATATATATATGCACGTGCTCCCGTCCCCGTGACTATCTCAGTGACCGCGATATTCAACACTCCCACTCGCTGATTTCTTTCGCCATGAAGAATGTTAGCGATCAACTATCACGGTTGCTAGGCCCTATTAAAAACTCCAAAAAAAACCCCTGGGGTAAAAAGAAGGAAAGGGTGCCTGCATGTACCGTTTCGTTTTTAGCTTGAAAGCTGGTGTCCCATGAGAGTATCACTCAATACCGAGGCCCTTTCGAAACCATTTAAATCTGATTCGTGCAAGGGGCTTCGTCAAACCATCAGCAATCTGTTCTATTATCGGGATATATCTCAGTTCCACTGTCCCAGCATCTTGAACTTCTCCTTGCCACTTTCGTTGGATTTCTATATGTTTTATACGCGAATAGTATTAAGGGTTCGAGGCTAGCGCAATAGCTCCCTGATTGTCGCCGCAAATGATTGTTGCGCATTTTCCTTGGCTCATGTTCAGCTTATAAAGGAGTCTCCTCAACCAGATAGCTTCCTTCGTTGCTTGTGTCTAGCTAATGAATTCTGCTTCGCAGGTTGACAGGGCAACGGTGTTCTGCCGTTTCGATTGCTAGCTAATCGCTCTACTTCTAATATTGAACAGGTATCCGGCCGTCGACCGTCTTGTTTAGCGACAGCTAGCCTAGTCTGTATCTATAAAACTACGAAGCATCTAGAGCAAGCCTTTGTATGTGAGACTAAGAGATTTAGTGCCTTTAAGGTACCGAAGAATTCGATAGCTAAGCTTCACGTGTTGTGGACCAGGGTTTGTTAAATGTCTACTCGCCGCTAAGACTGTATATGCAATATCACCTCTGGTTCCAAGCATGATATACATCAGCGATCCGATTATACGCTGATACTCGTTCTTCAGAGTCGAGGGACAGATATATTCGGGTCTATTTTCTGGCAGAGGTGAAGTGTCTATAGGTATACTAACGGGTGCACAGTCTGACATTCTAAACTGCTGGAGGACCTTGTGTACGTAAGCCTCTTGGCTGAGATAGAGGATTCTATTCTACCGGTCTCTCCGAATAGCTATGCTAAGATAGTAGCTGTATAGGCCTAGATCTGTTATATAAAAACGATTTCTAAGGCTCCGTTTAATCTTCTTTATCTCTGCAATGCTTGGCCCGATAATCAAGAGGTTATTAATATATACTACAATGTATATGCTACTCCGAACAAAGATGCTAAGATTAGCGTTGATAGGCTTAAAGCTAAGGCCCCGAAGGAAGTTAGTAAGAGTCTAGTACTAGATACGAGGTACTTGTTTCAGGCCGTAGAGTGCTTTACGGAGCTTGCAGACCCTAGATGTGCTATCCGTAGTATAGTAGGGCTATTCGATATAGATCTCGTGGTCTACCTTGCCGTATAAGAACGCTGTTTTGATATCTATCTGCTCGATCTCGAGATCAAGGGCAGCTACAATTACGAATAGGGCCTTGTAGCTTATTAGTTTAACCACCGAAGCGAAAGTTTCGTTATAATCGATACCTTCCTCTTGAGTAAAACCTCTAACCACCTATCTATACTTGTAGCAGACGATCTCTCCGCGAGCTCCTCTTTTTAGTTTAAAGATCTACTTCCTGCTTAGGACTCGGCGATAGTTGGGCGGGTTAACGATTTCCCAAGTTTTGTTTTGCTTAAGCGATTGTATCTCTTCAGTTATTCCCTTTTCCTATTCGAGCTAGCGTAGATCATTCTTGGCCTAACGAAGGGACTTCGGTTCAAAGGGTTTAGTCTCTTCCGCGGCTACGGTCAAGAAAGTTAGAATCACATTCTCGTCAGGGATATTCATCAATACAAGTTCTTCTTCGTCGTAGTTAGATGTGTCCTAAGAGGTTTATACATCCCGAAGCTTGAGCTTAGGGTAACGTTCAAGTGTACCGCGAGGCACGATATGTTCTACGCTACCCCCTCGGCCCTCAGAATAATTCAGCCAATCTTGTGGAATTCGCCCTTG